TATATACCTTAAGGGGGGATATTAATATATAATATTCTTTTATAATAATAATAATAATATAAGAATAATAATAAGGCTTAACTTACTTTAATATTCTATATAAAATAAACTAATAAAGTTTATAGTATTAAACCTTNTTAAACCTTATATAAAAATGCTTTATTTATTATTACCTATAACTATAATTTTAATTATATAATATATATATATAGTTATATAAGCACCTTATATAATTAGCAGTTTAGTAGGTTATATTTTAGGTTATCTTTCTCCTCACTTTTCCCTACTAGAGGATATAACCTATAAATAATAATAGCTAGAGTTATTATAATATATCTATTCCTTTATTATTATCTATATAATTAAATACCTATAAATGCTTAGGATTATTACTTTTTATTATAATATAAGCCTATCTATAACCTTATACTATATAGGCGTATATACTACGCCCTTAAATACGCTTATAACTATGCTAATAAGTATTAATTAAGTAAGTTAGCCTCTTTAAATAATTATAGCACCTATATTTAAAGCTTAGCTAACTAATATAGTTAAACCTTAGTAGAGGCTTAATAATAGCTTAATATTAATACTTAATACTATAATTCTAATTCTTTATAGTTATTTATTAATAAGTATAATAAATAAAGATATAAAAAAGTAGTATTAATTTATAGTAAATATTATAAATATAAAGAGGGAATCTTATTATATATATTTACTCTATTTACTACTATATCCCTCTATAGCTAAAATAAGTATACTACTAAGTGCTAGCCTTTTTAGTTATATTTATTTAGCTAAAATAGTTATACTTACTTATTTAGCTTAGTACTCTATTTATTATACTAGCCTTACTTACTATATTAGCCTTATTAGCTATACTAACCTTACTAGCTATACTAGCTATATTAGCTATACTAATTATATTAGCTATACTAGCTATATTAGTTATATTAGCTATATTAGCTATACTAACTATACTAGCTATACTAGCTCTCCTCTCTAAGTATACTTATTAAGTAAAGCTAGTATTATTAATAAACTAAATAAATAAATATAACTAGTAAAATAAATATAACTAATATAAGTAAGTATTACTAAGTAATAACTAAATAGGTATAGTTTTAATAAGTATTAAAATAGGTAATTACTACTAATTAGTAATATACTTATTTAAACTATAGAGAGATATAATAATAAGTAAAGTAGAGATATATAATAAAAGTCTCTTAAATATAGCTATTTAGTAGGTCTAATTTACTTAATACTAATACTAAGTATTTCTCTTAATACTTATATAATATATCTTAAATATATTAAATTAGATAATTTTTATTATATACCTCTATTTTATTTATTAGTATATCTCTCTATAATTTAATTAAATATACTATTAATTAGTAATAATTACTTATCTTAATACTTACTAAAGTTATACTTACTTAGTTACTACTTAGTAATACTTATTTATACTAGTTATATTTACTCTATTAATTATACTTACCTACTTAGCTTATTAGTAATATTAGCTCTATTTAGTAAGTATACCTAGAGAGGAGAGCTAGTATAGCTAATATAGCTAGTATAGTAAGGTTAGTATAGCTAGTAGGGTTAGTACAGCTAGTAGGGCTAGTATAGTAGGTAGGCCTAGTATAGTAGGTAGGGCTAGTATAGCAGGTAGGGCAGCAAGCTAGGCGGGCAAGTGCAACTACCTTAGCTAGGCAGGTGCGACTGAAAAGGCTGGCACCTGGCAGCGCACCTGCCTTAGCCACAGAGGGATGTGGCAGTGGGCGGGGCGGGGGTGTGCAATAAGATTCCCCTTAAGTTATACAGTACCTATATCCTCAATTATAATAACATACTGACAGAGGTGGCAGACACAGGCACCATAGACATCATCGCCACGGAAGCCTCTAAAACACCTCATGTGGGCACCTCATGGCTGCTTCCATCGGCGCAAATCGGCGTCCGGCGCGCAAGCCCACGGGTGTCGCGAGAGATGACTCCGACGACGAACTTGGCGTCGAAGATCTTCCGTGGAAATGGCTGTACGATCGTGCCACTACGAAATCTCCCGACATGGTTAAGGAAAGCGACACCCCCCGGAAACGCAAGAGAATAGTCAGCGGATCGCGGATAGTTGGTGCCGGCCTCGGTACTTTTCAGTGCTTTATTGGCGATTGCGTGCTCCTCAAAGCTGAGGGATCGAAAGAAGCCTGGGTTGCTATCATTTGCGAGTTCGTCGAGGACGACGATGGGGAGAAGGCGGCAAGCTTCATGTGGTTCTCCACGGAAAGAGAGATACGCAACAAAGAGAGGAAGAGGCTAGACTTTCTGCCTGTATGTTGTCTGTTCAGTGCATATCAATACCGAGGCTTACTTTCATTAGAATGAGCTGTATATCTCCCCTTCATGGGACGTCAATCCCTTAGCTGCTATAAATGGCAAAGCCATTGTTCTTTCTCCGCGCAAATTTGCCCAACAGTATCCATCCGGAAAGGTGCCTCGATCCTCGCCTGACTACGGCAAGGTATTCATCTGCCGGCGTGGATGCAACACAAGGACAGCAGCATACACAGATGAATTTGTATGGGAGGATATCTATCAGGCCAGCGACCAAGGCGTACATAACCTCATACAGTTTGCTAAATCCCACACCAAGTCGACAACGAGGCGTCTGGGCGCAAGGGAATCGACACCGGAACAATCATATGCTCTTCCCGAGGGCACTGCCAACATAGCGACGCCGAAACGGACGACCAAGCCGGATGTTTCTACGCCCCGCGGAAGTGATCGACTTGTGACGACACCATCATCACGGAAACGGTTCGTAAAGTTGCTTGCGCATCTTCGTCGCCGATGAAGCTAACTTGCTGTTCAGTGTCGTGGTGAAGAAGACGTTAGAGTTCACACCGTTGGGCACTCGAAAACTATCCCCAAACCGCCTTCAATCATCGCCATTCCAGCTAGCGCGATCGCAGCTACACGTTTCATCCGTTCCATCCAATCTGCCTTGCCGAGAGAATGAGTTTGCCACGGTTTATTCTCATCTGGAAGTCGCGATTGCAGATGGGAGTGGAAGTTGCATCTACATCGCCGGTACACCAGGAACTGGTAAGACAGCGACCGTTCGTGAAGTTATATCCCGTCTCGAAGACAATGTAAGGGCGGACGAGTTGGACGACTTCATCTTCGTTGAAATCAATGGCATGAAAATCACTGACCCCCACCAATCATACAGCCTTCTCTGGGAGGCGTTAAAGGGGGAACGTGTCAGCCCATCGCAAGCCATCGACCTCCTAGAACGAGAGTTTAACAACCCCAGCCCTCGCCGCACGCCTTGTGTTGTCCTCATGGACGAGCTGGACCAACTGGTCACGAGAAATCAAAGCGTCATGTATAACTTCTTCAACTGGCCAGGACTCCGGCACAGTAGGCTCATCGTTCTAGCTGTCGCCAATACCATGGACCTTCCTGAGAGAACCCTCAGCAACAAGATTAGCAGTCGCATAGGTAGGTCGTCAAGGATGTCATCCGTCCGTCCAAAAGCTCACATAAGTGTTCAGGCCTTACAAGAATCACCTTTCCGGGGTACACACACCAGCAACTGATTCAAATTATACAGTCCAGGCTGGAGGGAGTACCCGGGGACCTTGTTTCCCCGGATGCTATTGGCTTTGCCAGTCGAAAGGTGGCCTCTGTCAGCGGTGATGCCCGGAGAGCCTTGGACATCTGTAGACGAGCCGTCGAACTCGCCGAGTCCGATTCCCGTGCCGGGCCCGACATGACTAGTCGAGAGCCACGTAGAACTGGCAATCAAACAACGGCAAAGGTCACCGTGGACATCATCAGAAAAGCCATTGGCGAAGCCACTACGAATCCGATACAGCAGTACTTGCGTTCGTTGGCGTTCGCACCCAAATTGCTTCTGAGTGCCTTGCTGGTCAAAATTCAAAGAAACGGCACTGTTGAGACAACATTCGGCGATGTTATGGACGAGATGTATCGCATAATGAAAATCGACACTGGAGGCCTAGACCCAGGCCTTGTTGCGGCCATAGTAAGTGGCTCGTCAGGAATCGATTTGGCGCCAAGCAGGGAGAGTGCTCGGGTAATGGAAGCCATGGGACTTCGCCATGCGGCAATGGAACTGGTTGGCGCAGGCATCATTGTCCTGGAGTCACAGAGGGCCGAGAGACCGAGTAAGATGCGCCTCGCAGTTGGAGACGAGGAACTCAAGATGGCGTTCCGAGATGACGGCGAGGTCAAGGCCCTTGGTCTATTTTTCTAATTCAGTCACCCCCACGCCGATGCACTGGCACGGCGATAAAATAGCAGAAGCAGCGGGTATCTATTAATCCCTCCTCGTGTGTCCGGGCCCTCCACTGGCTCTGAGTCTGTCCAATGTTGTCCCATCCTATACTGATGTCCCCTGTAAGGTAAGCTCCCCTCCGAACCATTTCGCACTAATATTTGCGTCGTGCAAGCGTCGGCTGCCACAGTACAGGGTGCGTTTCAGGAGTTGCCTTTTCATCCTGCTTCCATATTTTGATTGTTTTGTCTGCCTCGCCACAAATAAGCCGCAGTCCAGACCGATCAAAGGTTGAGCTCATGATCCCCGCCTCGGCATCCAAGGACCCTGGCTGCGCTGTGGTATCCAGCGACTGGAAGCGATGGCCCGTCTTCCAGTCCCAGAAGCTCATCGAGCCGTTGTCGCCGCCGGAAAAGAGAACGTTTTCCTGGTTTACGCTGAGAGTATTGATGATGGCATTGTGTCCATCAAAATTCTGCATGAAGGCTCCCTCGGGGCATTTCCATTGCTTGATGCTCCCTGTGCTACCAGAGGCAAAAGTGAACTCTTGAGGATGTGTAGCCAAGGCCCTGACGCCTTTTTTGTGATGTGTAAGGACCCCCATGGTCTTGCCTGCAGCCAAGTCCCATAGTCTCACGGTTGCATCAAGAGACCCAGTGATAACTTGGGGGTCGGCCTCCTGGCACTTAACATCCGATACGGTTCCAGTGTGGCCCGAAAGGACGTGTATGTTACTTCGAGTTCGCATATCCCATACCCTCGCGACGCCATCTCGACCTCCCGTCACCAGCACATCCAGTGTCGGGTGAAGCGAAAGAGTGTATACGCCACTCAGATGACCGTGGTAGTGCCGTATGACTTTGTTGGTTTCAAGATCCCAGCATTTGACCATCTTGTCCTCACCGCAAGAAAAAAGGTAAGGGTGGCGCGGGCTTACGGCAAGGCCACGAACTGTCGATATATGACCCGTCAGGGTGAGGCGGAGGGATCCTGTAGCGATGTCCCAAATCTTGATGGTCCTATCGCCCGCGCCGCTGGCAAACCACTTATTTCCAGGTTCAACAGCTAAGCTTCGCACCCAGCCCAAGTGGCCTGAGATGACCCTCATAAGCTTCCAAGGAGGATGCCATTCGGGCTTGCCATTCTGTGATGCTGACGACCCGGCCCGCGCAAGGCTCATGGGCTCAGAAGACAGATGCGGAGACGAGCCATTGGATGAATGAGTGGCTTTCGTGAGCTTTGTAGACTCGGCTGGCCCCTCGAGAAGTTTTTGGACGGATCGTTGGCGTACGAGGGTTTGTTCAGCGTTGGTGTTCGGCTTGGTTCTGCGCGACTTAGAAGCAGCTGGTTGCTTGGCGGCGAGAGATGCTGGGAGCTGTTGCACGGTGGCATATTCCAGCCGGAAGCGACGTTCGGTGGGGTCCTTGTCGTCAAAAGCCTCGATTGTGGTTTCGGCCAAGTCAGTCCTCTGTCGCTTTCTCGTTGGCGCGCTTGGCGAATTTGAGTAGAAGGACTTGGTCGCTTTGTGGTTTCCATCAAGCAACTCTCCAAGACTTGAGTTTGTTGGAACGCTGGACTCGGAGACAGCGAAGTCCATTTTGAATACGGATCCCGGGGCTTCCGAGGACTCGTTGGTTGTTCGTAGCTCTGGGGGGTCGATGGTTGTTAGAAAGGCTAAGTTTCGATTTCGGTACGAAGGACATAAGGTATTAGCAGCTAGCCTCGCCGAGCGCGTCCCATGCAGCGCACGGACTATGTTGATTGGTGAGCCTCACACACGCCACGACACTTTCGAATTGATGCACACAGTGCGGTTATCGGCAACTTGTGCCTGTCTATACTGTACACACCTCACTGGCGTGTGTTCAGCCCCACAATCTGCCCATCCATGGTACCAGATACCTACCTCACCCACCTTGGAGGAAGGTGCACTGTACCTACGGCACTGCACGACGGTGAGATACCTTTCTGCCTACATCTAAGTATGGCTCTCAACGTCATCCCGCTGTGATTCTAACGTAGAGTCCAGCTTTGTAACCTTTTTCATTTGTATTTCAAACTCTCATTTGGCCGTGTCGTTGTATTCTAGCGAACCATCTCTCTCGAGGACTGGACCCGGACCATGGACGATACTCGAGATAAATTTCCACTTCATTCGGCGGCGCGTGAGAGCAGAGGTAGGAATCATTGCTCGCAGTAGTTTGCTTCATCCCTGACGAGCTGGGCAGTTTCAATTGCAGAGACACTTCTCAGGGTACTTTAACTCTTTGACGCATTCACGAAGATGTCGGAATAGCGAGGCTGATAACGTCCAGACGGACCCAAAGCTTGCTTTTCGTGAGGACGATGACGGTAGGCTGCCACTACACTGGGCCATTTCTTCCAACTGCACCGAAATCGTCATCCTCCTCGCGCAGCAACGTGGCTTCAACCCGGACATTCAGGTCAGGTTCCCATCCAACTACTCCCTTAGGTTGTGGTATCAACTAGTTCACTTGACTCACATTCGTTATGCAGGATGGCAGTGGCTGGACGCCATTGATGATTGCTGCCAGCATCAAGGATGGCGAGGGCCTGGTTCACTTGCTGTTGCAGAAGGGCGCTGACGCGAACCTGAAAAGTACGTATGCCTGTTGGATCTCCCGTCTTGCCTGCGTCTTGGCCGTAGTGGCTGATGCCCCTTCTGCAATTCACAGACCATAACGGGCAGAGCGTCCTTCACTTTGTCGCCTCCAAAAACAACCTGGATGTTGCTAAGATGCTCCTCAATCATGATCCCCCGGCGTCCACTAGAGTTCGTGACAAGCGTGGCCAATATCCTATTCACCGGGCCGCGGCCGTGGGCTCAATCCCTATGATGAAGCTGCTCGTCAACAACAAAAGCCCTCTCGATGCCACCGACACTTCGGGGTACACCGCTTTGCACCATGCCGTCGCCGAAGGACACGGTCTGTGTAACTTATGCCACTCTTCTATCCACTACCTAACATTTCTATTCCCAGGCGACGCAGCTGTAGCATTACTGAAGGCTGGTGCAGACTATGGTAAAAAGGACCAAGATGGCTGTCTGGCCCTTGACTTGGCGCCAGATAAAGAGGTAGGTTGTATGGCCCTAGACTATCCCCATCCCCCCGAACTGTGCCCCAAAACTAAACCGGTCTTGTCGCAGGTTCGCCGTTACATCGAACGTGCCGCCGAAGGGGAAGGCATAGACCTCTGAACCAAGGAGGCCACACTACCACCACCTGTGACGCCGTGATTAACACAGTCCAAACAAACTCGCACCAGAATCATGTTCATCATTCCTATGCGGACTATTACATGCTTAGCCCAGAATATAGCCGAATTCGTCACCTGACCGTGCGCTCTACCAAATCGCGATACATGGCCTTGACGTCTTGCACATCAGCGCGGAGCTCCTCCACCAGCTCACTCTTTTCACCCAGTACTTCTAGCGTCATTTGGTACCTGGAATTGATGTCCTCGACCTGGCCTTCCAGCTCAGCCACCCGTTTTGTTGCCGCCTTACTGGATTCCATCTCTTTCATTAAAGCGGCTATCTCTGCTCTTGCCTCATCCCTCTGCCCGGAAATTCGCGCAAGCTCCTCACGCGATGACACCTTTTCAGCCTCAAGTCGACGGATCGCGGCACTCATCCTCTCGACGAGCTGGACCGAGGGACCCGCTCCAACAGTTGATACGGACACCATATCTTGCATCATCTGCCTTGGTGAAGAGGTCGTCTCTACACCGTCGAATAGATCGTCCTTCTCGCCTGCGTGCGATGTTGGCGTAGGCAGCGAGTCTGGTGCTAAGTCAAAGGATGGGACGAACGTTGAACCTGGAAGGCTCGGCGCGCCGGATGCAAAGAATGGCGCCGAGGGGGGATGGGCAGATAATCGTCTTCCTGGAGAAGAGCCTTCGTGAACACCGTCTGTTCCACTCGTGGGGGTTGAAATTTTGCGGCTCTTTCCTGAGGCACTTTGTAGCATGAGTAGATCATTGCTCAAAGTACGGGTTGGAACAGATAGAAGAGGCGAATCTGGCCTGCTCTGCATTCTCGACATCGAGTTCGAGAGGTGATCTTCGAGCCATGGTCTGCGTTCAGACTCGGTCCTCTCTGCCTTCCACGCCGCGTGTTGCTTCTCTGAGTCAAGTTTTGCCCGCGCAAGCGCAGCTTCGGCGTCATCTGCTCGTTGTTGTAAAACATCGATGCGAGACTGATATGCCTCAGCATCCCGCTGGTAGTTGGGGAATTTGTTCTTGAGCTCCTGTATCTCCTCATCTTGACGCTTGCATCGAGTCGCCTGTGGGGACGTCAGTATTCGCAGTCCATTGCGAGGCAAGACGTCCTGTGTAAAAGAGGTGGGTTGAACGTTATCAATGGAGAGTCTTACGGTTTCTCTAGCCTTTTTTCTCATTTCGGATTCCCTTCGCAAGGCATCGTCTCTCTCCCGTTCCAGGTTATTGAGTCGAGCGAGCAGGCTGGCTTCGATCCCCTGCCAATTTTCTGCAGCAATCGCATGTTGAGTCTGCAAGGTTTCCACCTGCCGCAGTAGCTTCGCCTGAGAATCGCCCACCGCGCCAGAAGAAGCCTCCTCTGCCAAAGCACGCATTGCCTCCAGCTTGCCCTCTAGGACCTGAAGCTCCGCCTTCATCTCTCCTTCCGTGATGCGGGCCCGCTCCGTCGCACGTGAAGCCTTTTCTTCCGCCTCGGCGGCGCTAGCCTTCGCTCTGTCAGCAACCAAAGTCTTCTCTACCTGCAAGGCAGCTATCGTGTCTTCAAGCTCCTTTGCTCGACGTTTCTCCATAGTCAATGCTTCTTCGTTAGCTTTCGCGAATGCTGAGTTTGCCTGGTCCGTCGCCTTCTGAAGATCCGCCCGCAACTTCTCTATTGTGTTTTTATCGGCGATCGCCCCGGCACGCAAGGCATTGAGGTCGTCCTGCATGCAATTAGTGCGAATTTGCAGCTCCTGATTCAAGTGCTCGAGCTCCTCTACCCGGCTGGCTCTCGACCGCAACATTTCCAAGTCCGCCGTCGTCTTTTCGTACCGCGTTTTCAACTCTGATGTCGCCTTTTCATCACTGACAATCTGGGATCTAAGCTTTCTGATGATGGTCCGGTGCTTCTGTTCAGTGGCTGCCAAATTTCGCCCTTCTTCCATGAGCAGCGCAATCTTTTCATCTCTCTCAGCCAATTTCTGCTCCTGACTCCCAGCCGGGGCCTCTGCAGCAGACTTTCGAGCAACGTCAGTCGCCTCTTTTGACAAGAATTGCACTTTTGCCTGCAGAGCCTCGAACTGTTCAACGTGGCGATGTATTTCTTCTTGTTGCTCCTTCGCTGCTTGCTCGCAGCTAGCTTCCAGCGACTTTACCCGGGCCTCGAGGTGGACACAATGGCTGCATTTAGTGCCGAAATTGTGTGCAATACCGTTTGCGCTGGGCTTGGTCAGGGGCATTCCAAGTAGTCCAGCGGAAGTGCCAGCGGAAGTGCCAGCGGAAGTGCTGGCAGAGGTGGTGTTCTGGAGTGTGCTCTCAGATTCGCCAAGTATCATACTCGGCAAGCCTTGGCTCTGCTGCAACTTTTGCATCTTAGCAGGTTTGTCGTGAACTTGGTCTGCTATCCCAGATTCCGGGCTGATTCCAGACGTCGGGTTGGACTCGTGGGGAGCGGCAGGGAGAGCGGCGGAGGCGATGTTCGAAGCGGAGGCAGGCTCGCTCTGAGGAGTAATAGCATCGCAACGCGCGCTCTCACCGCTCAGTCTGGCGCTGTGAGAATCTGACGTGGCGCCGCGAGCATCGGAGGACTGAGGATTCTTGGATGCCATGGCTTTCGCCAAGCGCTCTTGTAGGCGGTCATTCGTGCGGCTGCTGGTTGAGGATCGGGATGGCCCTATGTCAAGGAGCAGTCAGCAACCGAATTTGAAGTATCGCAGAGGGGGAAGGCAATCGATGCAAGATTCAGGCGAAGCGTCACCAGCCCACGAATAAGTGTGTGGCTCACCAATCTGCTGCGGCTCTCCTCTGGAAGGAGTGGCAGGGCGTTGAGGGGGTTGTCCTGGCTGTTGGAGGGAGCCATTCTCCCCCTCTGCCAGGATGTTATCGAGGCGGGCCTCAACGCCGGCAACGGCCTGCTGGAGGAACGAACCCCATCGTGACGATTTAGCGGGTGCTGTCATGATGGAGCCTGATGCGGATGTGAGTATGTATCACAACGATATCACTTGAACCGTCTAGGCCTGTTGGCTGTTGCGAAATGCGGCCGGCATGGACATTTCGGGTTTGAAGTACGGGCCGAAAGATGGCCAATCGAACGGGGCACGCAAGTCTGAACGCGACAAGTCGACCGACGAGGCAGTGGCGCGACTTCAAGCTGTATTTAGGAAGCTGACAGGCGGTTTGGGTGCCGGTGTTGGACTGTTTGATTGTAAGGACCGTGGTATGCAAGGGAACCGGAGCAATGTCGGGTTGGCGGGTGTCCGATGTTGTTAGATCTTATGTGGAACATTGCCCAGATGATTGTACCCAAGGCAAGGTTGAACGAATCGTGGGTGTAGCTGGGGTGCCCTGCAGGATGCGCACCTGAGTTAAGCTACTACATAGCTCGGGTACGTCAGGCATGCATTTTGGTCCACGTATTGCGACATATCTGGCATTACCTTAAACACCACCTGCTACTTACTAAGTGCATATCCGTCTATCTCGGATAACTTCTATTCGGTGCTCGTGAATACCCGATTATCGTATCTTGCCGATTGCCGACTCAACGTGTCTGGTTATGTAAGCCAACATGCCGTTGCTCGACGTCATCCTTCTTACCTACCTAGCCTCGGACTCGTCGCACAAGCCCGTCAGTTGGTACTGATAATGCCACAGCTGCAGCCAACCCGAGTCGTGCTTGCGACATGCGGAACCCACCTAACTGGCAATTGGCAGCAACGGGCGCGGGCGCGGACGCGGACGCGGACCTGGCTCGGATTACCTTGTCGTCCAAGGACCAGACACTTGGACAGGTGCCAACCTGACCTCGTCTTCCTACATTTCTCAAAAGTGCGGTACCTGGCAAGGTGCCTTACTTAGTCCGCCGATTTGGTCTGGCTGAATAGACACGTTACTCGTTGGAACCCCCCTGCGGACTATGTCCCGAGTTGTCCATAACCAATGACTTTCTCCTCTCTACCATCTATCCCAATCCTACTTCTCTGATCTGAACGAGCGTCCCCTCACTGAGCCGTCCGAGTCTTACCTCACGTTCTTTACCTGGACCGTTCAGGTCCTGCTCTGCCGCTGACGCCGGCCAACTTCATTTGCACTCACGTGACATCGCTTCCGGTTCGACCGGAGTAGCACGATATTTTCTCCCTCTTGTATTCTCTGCTGATACTCTTCTCTCCCATTCTCTGACATCTTGATCTCGAAGTCGCAGTTCCTCGCCGTCGCTCGGTGTATTTGGTTCAGCCCAACAACTCAAACCACTGGACACTTTGACCCAGCCGTCAAAACTTCCTCGGGAAAGCCCCTGTAGCCAACACACCAAACTTGCAGCTGTGGACGATTCGACAGCTCGGGAGAGCTATTCCCCGGTCACCTTAATTGTGCCCGACACTCGAACGACACCGCTCGCTTGACTTGATTCTATCGACATACAAACTAGTCGATGGCGGCGGCACCGCTGTTCCAGGCTTTGCGCCTGGCCTACAATGACGGCACTACAGATGGCTTTTGGGGCGAGAAGACGTCCACTTTGAACTTTTGCGAAGAGGTATGAGGCGACTCCCAGGCCGGATAGGCATGCCGCAATGCCGCTCTCAAATTTGGCTCACCCCTCTCAAGGACTATGTCGTGTCGTACTACTGCGCCGAAGTTTGCAATGTGAGTTGACATTTTAATTCATGGATCAATTGCGAGCGTGACTTTTTCTAATGCAGAATTCTGCCTTACAGACGTTTACGAACCTTCTCTTCATGTGGCTGGGCTTGAAGGGAATCCACAACTGTATATCACAAGACCACCCACGCATATTTCTTATAGCTTACATGGGCTATATCACCGTCGGACTTGGTTCAACTGCCTTCCACACCTCACTCAAGTGTACGGCGTCTTCCACCCTGCTCCTCATTCTCTACTCAGCCCCCTCTTGTTACTGCTCGCCCCGTGCTCACACATCGCCAACCCTGCACTGACGACTGTCTCAGATCCCATGCAGCTTATCGACGAACTTTCCATGATTTACACCACGTGCCTCATGGTTTTCGCTACCTTTTCGTATTCAAGATCAGGTCGGTTTTCCGCTTTATTAGGCTGCGGTCTGACGCTTCTTGCCGGTTTTATTACGGTATGTCATGTCCTGCGGTGACACAGCTAGCGTTCACGAGAAGTGACGGGCATTGGCTAATATCGCTATTGTTAGGCATACTATCACGTCACAAAAGACCCGGTTTTCCATCAGAGCTGCTATGCGGCGTTGACAGCTACGGTGATACTTGACCCATTGCGTCGTGCTTGACACTATTGCTGAGTCCTATACAGGTAGTATTTCGGAGCTTGTACGTGATGGAAACACAATTGAGACCGGTTCTCGTTAAAAGGAACAGTGCCAAGGCTAGCAGTGTCCTCAAAACCATGTGGATCATGGTCGCCACCGGTTTGTTGTTGGCCGATTCTTTTGAATCGATGAATCATGCTTAACTTTGATGCATAGGACTCGGCGTATTTCTCACTGGCTTTCTCATCTGGAACCTAGACAATTTTCTGTGCAGCCATATCAGGAGGTTACGGCGCCAACTTGGGTTTCCTTGGGGTGCGTTGCTCGAGGGTCATGCTTGGTGGCATTTGATGACAGGTCTTGGTAGATACCCCCTTCTGCTGCATGTCTGTCCAGTAACTGACCTTTTTTTCAGGAGGTATGCGCCGTTAACCCCGGCATTTGAGGGCAGAATGCGATTGAAGCGCCTGAGCTAACTATGCGCCAGCTTATTACTACATCACGTGGGGCATATGGCTACGAAGATGCCTCGAAGGCCGAGAAGACGAGTATAGGCTGGTATGGCCTAGGTCAATATCCTCAATTCCTGTAGTGGTAAAAGCCAAAAAGGTCGAGTAAAAATAACTCAAAGCATGCGTCCTTCGCAAACGAGAGTCGACAATGCCACGAGAACAACCAACCCATGGTGGTACAAAGGACCGATAGGTACCCATTTGGGGGCTAATACGCCGACACATAGGATGATCACAGAGAGCTAGTGGACACACGCCATAGAACATGCAGATGATTTTTTCCAATCGCAATCAACTGGTAGGATGATGTTTTGCGGGCGATTACCTCAGCGGCTTAAGGGGCAGGAAAGGTAGACGTGCCTCCGCCGCATGCTTGATTACCTCACTCATTTGCGTTTGCCTTACCCAAAACCCCTGTCAGTGCGCGATTTATTACCCCTCCACGCCACTTTTTACTATTAACGACAACGCTACTAATATTAATTAATATGCTTCTTAACGTAATTCGGGCTTTTTGATACTATTTAAAGCGTAATATAGGTATAATATTATAATACTAGAGTAGAATAACGATAATCTAGCCTCTATATAACTAGTACAGTTATTAAGGCTAGTAACGTTATATAAAAGTGAGAATATCTCCCTAAAACTAGGATTTCTACTAATAAGACTAGTAATATAAAAATCCTTCCTACCTACTTTAGTTCTCTAAGAAGAAGATCGTAAGAGAGAGCTTACGCTATATTAACTTTAATCTAACCTAAAACGTATTACTTTTAATAAGATAGCTATAATAAGGAGCCCCTAGCTAACTATAAAAAGGATAGCAAACTCCTCTACTAGCCTTAAAAGAGGTAAAACTAGCTTAATTAATAAGGGGTATAATAGTAATTAGAACTCTTAAGATAGGGTAAATATAAGAGGAAGAGGGTTTTATACTAGTAATAATATATATAAACCTATAATTAAAGTTATTACTTAATAGCCTTAACTATAAATAAACTTTATAGATAAATAGTATAACTTATTAACGTTAGAGGTAATAGATAATAGTACTAGTGAGGTTAAAGAGATATAATAGCTAGAAGTTAATAATACTGAAGCTATTATTAAGGCTATTACTAAAGCTATTATTAAGATTATTATAAAGCTACTAATTAATCTTACTATTAAAGAGAATAATCCCTTTAAAGAATATTTATTACTACCTCTATTATAACTATTACTACTATTATTACCTCTTATAGAACTTTAAGTTTATATAGAGATTAAGATTTCTAGGAATAATATTAAGATATAACTAAATATTAAAGTTAAAGAGATTAAATAAGAGAATATAGATAACTAAGCTAAATATATTATTTATAATATAATTAGAAACTTCTACTATAAGTACACTTTATAGTATAGTAATCACTCTTTTATATTTAACTCTACTTAAGTTACCTTCCTCTTTAGCTTAAATTATTAGGCTATATTCTCTAAAGAGATATTCTATATTAACTACTAAAAGCCTAATAACTAGGACTTATAGCTATTTAAGTACTAAGGATAGATTAGTAATACTATTAAGAATAATAAAAAGAAGAATAAGTTATTATAAGTTAAGATTATTACTCTTATTATATTAAAACTACTTAATTAGTATATATTAATCTCTATAAACTATTATTATAAGTCTTAGTAGTTATCTCTAGTGCTATCTAGTATAGGTTTTACTTAAATAACCCCCTCAGTTAGAGTAATACTACTTTAAAACTCTATTAAGACGCTTTTATAACTTAGTATAACCTTATAAACTTTATATTAGAATAATAACTTTATTAAGCTTATTCCTATTAGATTTAGTAATATTAGTAGACTATTATATTAATAGAAGTAATAGAGTAACCTATTATTAACTAGTAAGTTAAGATAGAAGAAAACCTAAGATATATACTAAGCAATCTAAGTTCTCTATAAGTATAAGTTAGAAGTTAAGTACTTTAATAATTATAATAATATTATTAGTAACTATTATATTACTTATCCTTTTACCTTATTAAGCCTACTTATTTATCTTTAGATCTATAAATAATATCTTATAGTTTAAGCTAAAGCTATAGCTAATAGAGAAATAACTATTAATAAGCCTCTAGAGAATATTATTATTAATATAACCTTATGCTATAATAACTACTTCTATAAGAGTAAATCTAAGCTATAGAGTGAGGTTATACTAAGGGTAAATAGTAGTAGAAGTAGTAGAGGTAATACTAATAAGCTTAATTTACTCTCTTCTAGCCTTTATATTATAAACTAGGTTAATATGCTATTACTATTACTATTCTATAACTTTATGCTGCTAACTTATCCTTATTATAACTATTATGCTCCTACTTAGTTATTATTACTAACACTACTACTAATAAGACTACTATTAATGCTACTACGTATTAAGAAGTAGGATTTACTAATTTTATCCTCCTCTCTACTTGTTCCTTAGATTAAGTTTATGCTATAACTTCTCTATAAATATCTAAAATATCTATAAAGAATAAAAAGGACTAAAGATACTAAATAGGATATTAATCTCTCTACTACTCTTAATACTATTCTATAAGCTTATTTCTAACTTAAATCCCTTTAAAAAGCACTAACTAATTAGTTTAATAAAAATAATATCCTTATAGGTATTATAGAGATAATTAGAAGTAAAATTAAATAATTCCTAATTAAGTAAAATATTATAGATTTAATAACTAACTATAGTTTATACTTACCCCTTTATAATATTAAAAGCTAATAGATTTTTAAGTAGATAATGTAATACTTTTAGATAATATAATACTTCTAGCTAATACTATTAAATAAGACCCTCTAATTAAAGTAACTAATAATATTCACTCTCCTACTACTTCTCTTACCTAATCACTTAATAATAATAATAATAATAGTAAGCTTTAATAAGTAGAGAGGGGTTTTTTCCTACTTCTTTATATAAATATAAAAATCTTAACCTTAATAACTAATAGTAATTTATTTAATAAATAGGATATACCTCTAATACTATAGCTGAGGAGAAACATATTATAATTAAAGTGTTATAAAGCTAACTAACTATTAAGATTAGATTGTTTTTATTTTATATTAATATTATATTCTTTTAAGTAAAAAAGCTTTTAATAGTATTAAAGTTAAATATAACTATAGCTATAAACTTAACTTTATAGTAAGCTCTCCTCTCTATTAATATCTCTATCTATTTCAATATAAATACTATAGTAATAAAAGTAATATAAAATAGTATTAGTATTCTTAGCTACTTTAAGGGTATAGTTATAAAGAAAGTCTATAAAAAAGGTATCTATTACCTTAATCTATTTATACTTTATATACTACTTCTATAAGTAGTTTTTAAGGTTACTAAAGAATACCTTAATAGAGTTAAAATCTAATAAGTATATAGGTAAATATAGCAACTTAACGCTATACTATTAATAAGTATCCTCTAACTACTTTTAGTTATACTATACTATATTATTTATAATTAAGACTAACTTTAGGCTAAGAAACTTCCCTATCTTTAGTAATATAAAGTTCTTAATTTAGTATAAGAAGTTATTAGTATCTATATATTTAAGATAAATAATATAATTAAGAAGACTATTAATAGTGAGGGCTAGTAAGATATAATACTATATACTTCTTTTTATAATATTCTACTTTAATAGCTTTATACCTTTTAGTACCTAACCTATATATCTAGTACTACTTTAATAATTAATACTACTCTTATTAATAAAAATAAATATATTAGTAGTATAGTTATAAATTAATATAGTATATACTTCTTATATAGCCTAGTTTTATTACTAAGTAATATACTAAATCTTCTTTTTCTTTTATTAGATCTTTTTAAGGTAGTAAGAGATTACTAATATAGATATAAATAAATTAAACTCTTCTATAAGAAAACCTTAAACTTTATTAAGATAGCAATTAATCTTATTATATAAGAGCTTAAAGATCACCTCCTTATAAATTAATAATATCTTATAATACCTAAAACCTACTAGTTAATATAGTTTTAGTATATCTCTAGATACCTCTTATTATTAATAATAGATTTAAACTATTATAATATCACACTTAATAAGTTTTATAATTAATTTATTATTAAAGTAGTAGATAAGTAATAACTTCTTTAGCTAAACCTATTACTTACTACTTAATAGCCTTAATATTATCTACTCTATAATATTAGTATAATTTTAATTAAATATAGTATTAGCGAGGAGGATAAACAGTAAGAGGGCTATATTATATATATTTTATATTACTAGATAGGTTTAATAATAAGATCTCTAGTATTAATATATTTAAAGTACTCTACTACTAGAAGATAGGATATAGTTATATAAATATTATAAAGTAAAAAGAGGTTTATTAATAATACTAATAGTTAATTTATACTTAGATTTTATAATAATATATATCAATTTACTAATAATACTAACTAAATAGATAATAATAATATTATAAGCCCTAAATTAATATAGTTAGTAATAGTTTTAGCTTCCTATAGTACCTTAATATACTTACTTAAGAGGAGTTAACCTTATAAGGACGAAAAGAAGGATAGTATATAGATTCTAGCAAAAAAAAGGTCTTCTAAAGCTATTAATAATTAATTTATATGATAATTCATATTAATTAACGCGTTTTTAGCGTTAGCACGTACGAATAGGCAAAAGTGGCGTAGAGGGGCAATAAATTGCGCACTGACAGGGGTTTTGGGTAAGGCAAACGCAAATGAGTGCTAATGAATACACTGTACATGCAGGCACCTGGCACTATCCAACAGCACTCGCAGGGTCTTCGTCTCTTCATCAACTGGACAGAACGGCCGCTATCGCGACTTACCCGGTTTCCCTTTTTCTCTCCCCACGACCAGACTACATCTGACATACTCTCATACATGCCAAGAATTGCACCAGCCAAAATGTCGATTCCGAACCAAGCACTTGAAAAGGTAGGCATGCCTAGAGCCCCGAAGAAGTTGAGAACCATAGGAAAGCTCGCAGGCTCACCCCCCCTCGTCGCACGCAGTTGATCCGTGAGATCGAGAGCCAGGCCATCGCGGCCCAGCAGCAAATTGGCCAGGCGCGCACGCAAATGACAGCGAAGCAGCGGGAGATGCGAATGGTGCGCCTGACCTTGGATGAGGTGGCGACTTTACCTCCCAACTCAAGCGTTTTTGAAGGTGTTGGCAAGATGTACGTGTAAATTTCGGAGAAGCAAGAAATGAACCCTGCTGACTGTGCTTGCTCGGGGGCGGAAAAGGTTTGTCTCGCTACCCACTCCGCGACTGACGGAAAAACTGGAGGGTCAGATCAAGGAGAAGGAGGGTGAAGTCGAGAAGCTGAGTCAAAAGCTGCACTACCTGGAGACGACTTTTAAGAACAGCCGGCAGCACATTGACCAGATGCTCAAGGCGCAGTCCTGAATGAAGGAATGCATGCTTCGTTCGATCTGGTGGTGAAGGATGGCACTCAGTAATCCCAACGTGCACATCGTAGGAAGAAACGTGGGTACTGAGCAGAAGTTTCAAGACCCTGCGTTAGCTGCATTGTTGGTGGTGGGAACTTGCGCGTCGCACCATAGCGACCTCAGGTGTCCCGGCTTCATCATCGCAGTGGATGGACCAGGCCAAGTCGAACTCGGTGGCACGACGAGCCGATCCTGCTGTCAGCCGGGGGCACTTGCGTCATTCAGAGCCCTTTTCAAGTCCTATAGATAAATTCCATTCGACTCATGTGTTGAGGACGTTGGCGTGTGGTGATATGTGGCCGAGCGCTGGCCTTCTGGGGGTATTGAGACCCGGATGGGCGTTGCACGACAGACGTGATTTAGCCTGTTGAACAGTTCCAGTAGCCTCCACCATCTTTCATGACTGTTGTTTATGCATGATGGCTGACACCTTTGGGACAGAAATAGGACAACTCAAGAGCATTGCCCGAAAGCTGGGGGCGTCGCAAAAATACGGTGAGGCTACCTTAGTGTGGGGAGGGGGAGGTGGCAGGGTGAACTTTTGGAGCTGAAGATTGACGCAGAAAAGACTCCCAGGCAGCGGGCAAGCTTAACTAGGCAGATGCCATTGATGGGTACGCGAGCCGGGCTAGCCCTGCATAGTGAGGTGACGCAGGAAGGGTGCGTATTTTGTCGACCGGGCTTAGGCAGGTATCTTTGCCAGTACATGCGTTCCTTTTGTCCCCCCGCCCCGTCCCCATGCCACCATCCTCAGCCGTGATAAAATGGTTTAAGCATGGCATAGACTGCTAGACCGCCGGCGTCGGACCAGTTACAGCTGGCGCCGACGAGAAGCCGAACAGTGGAACCACGGCGTTCCGGCCCCCAAGAAGCTCGAGCCACCCGTGGAAGATGGGCCCACACCGTCAGCAGCTGTGCAGCCCTACAGCAGGAGTCTAGAGTGCTAGCGGTTAGCCTGTGTGGAGACGAACGAGGGCATGGCGAATTAGCGTGTAACCGCGGACGAACCGACGAATCACCAGCCAGTATAGTCAGCCCCCTGGCCAGGAAACGCCGATAGTCATTTGTCCTGTCTGCCAAAGTTCGCTCTTTCACCAGTTACCTAACCCCATGGAATGGCAGGACGATACGACTATGGTACATCGATCTCCATATCTGTGTCTGCCTGCTTACCGTTGCAGCTGTTCCAACTGTAACCCCTCCTCCTCCCCGGCCCCGGCCATGGCCCCGACCCCGGCCACCTCTCTGGTACCTAAGGCACGCAGTTGTGAGCACTTTCCTCCCCTCTTGCCCTTCTGAGGTCTTTCATTCTCCGCCTTAGGACAGACTGGCCAACCCAACCTCTTCATGTAAGCAGACCGGCATGTTGCGCGAGGCATCTCGTCGGCTCCTATGCCCTAAGCCAGGGAAAGCATAAAGAGCCACCAACTCACCTGCCCGCCCCCAAAACCCCCCTATCCTATTCCCCTTTCCTTCCACCTTATCCGCCACCACGCGCCGCCCCCGTTATTTACTCAGCGTCCGTCGCTGACACTGTCCCCCTCTCCATTCGACCCAATCCCCCTAACCTGTGTGTCTTTCTCGTTCGTCATCTCCAGACGTCATGAGCAGCTATTACTCTGATGACGACGAGCTGGACATTCATGTCTCTCGTCGTCGTGCTCCTTCGCCGTCACCCGTCCATTACGTCGAGGCAAGGCCAAGACCTCGAAGCTACTACCCGAGCGCTGCGCAACCTAGTCATCTCGTTCCAGAGCGCACCATCATATCTGCGCGCACTCGATCTCGCTCACGGGACCGGCGCTCCTCACCCACCAGCAGCGCAGCACCGGCACCGGTTATCATAAACAACCGTATCTACAATGAGCATTCGTCGGACGAAGACGATGACCACCGCCCTCAGACATACCACCGTCACCGCTCCCACTCTCGAGCTCCCTCTCACTCCCACTCTCGGTCACCATCATCCTCCTACATGACTCGCGAGGAGTACGAGGCCGAACGCGCTCGTCAGGAACTGCAAGAGCTTAGGCTCAGCCAGGACCGAGAAAAGGAAGAACGGCGTATCCAGCAAAAGTACCGAGAAGAGGCTGAGTTGCAGCGTGCCAAGCGTGACCTAGATGACATTCGTGGCAGGGAGGCTCGTGCTTCGGAGGAGAAGCGCTTCAAGACTCAAATTGAACTGCAAAAGTACGAAGAGGAGATGCGACTAGCCGAAGAAGCCAAGAAGCGGGACAAGGAAGCCTCCGACGCAGTGGAGCGGTACAAGAAGAAGGAGCAGGACCGCATGGCAAAGGAAAGGAAAGAGAAGGAAGAACGAGAAAAGGAATTTCAGAGACGACTCCAGGAAGAGCGCCAGAAGGAGCTCGACCGTCAGGCTAAGGAGAAGAAGGAGAGAGAGGACCGAGAGAGAGAGTACCAGAGACGTCTCCAAGAAGATTTGATCAAGTCGGGCTTGGACGAAAGGGCGATTGCAGCGATTCTGAAGAAGGAGAAGATCCCAGAACCGCCAAAGCCTAAGCCCGCCCCAGTCGATCATGCCCTTGTGGCTGCTCAACGTCCGACATACACACGCATGGCCCGAAAGCATTTGTCCATCGAGACACTGAGGACATATCGGGTGGAGTGGGAGTTGGATACTGTGAGTGACCTAAAAGTCTCATTCTTTCGAAATGCGTCCGCTCACATCTCACAGGACCCTGACTACGTACTCATAAAGCGCTGGGTACCCGAGTGGGAGCAAGATACCCTTTGGAGGCACACTAGAGCGCTCCGTGAGAAGCGATCATCCAAGCTAGTGCTGGAGATTGAAGACAAGAAGTCTCATCGGCATGAGCCGGAATTTGAGTGGGTCAGAAAGAAGAATGACCGTAAGAGGAGCAAGTCCCCAGCGCTGCTCATGTACCTCGCAGGAGCTAAGCCGGCATGATGTTTGGAGGTCAATGGCGAGGAGATCGATTTACCGGCGCGTTGATCATGGTATATAGTATCAGACAATGACGTCCAAGGTATTTGTGTTTTTCGTTGATTGAGGTGAGATTTCAAGCGCATTTTGTGCGCGCAAAGCTAGGGCTCTACTCTTGTCGTCAAGTCGGAGGTCCAGGTGCGCTCAGCTCTTCTAATCAATTCTTCATAAACTGTCCAGGCCAAAGCCGAGCTCATTGCCTTCCTGCTCATTCGGAGTACGACCCCGTCTAGAAGGGAACGTGCGCCCTCTTCCACAAGCATCTTGCGGCAAGCCTGGTACATGTTTCGGTAAATGGATGGCTGGAGTTGTATCCTTGTCTTAACGGCATCGAAAGGATTGGAAATGACGGAACAAACAGCACCAGCCATGATGGCGGAGCTGAAGTTGACAAACGTCGCGTGAGAGGTTGTTATAGAGCTCCGTGTCGGCCGACTCTGGGATGAAACATCGCTCAGTCGCCTTTTCAATAACTCGTAAAACAATACGTACATGCCTGCGTAGGGGGCATCGCGCACAGCAGTGGCGCCGAAGCCGGCGAAGAATCCCCGGAAGCCCGTATTTCTGTAAATATCGGTCGAAGCCCCGAGGATGGATCGGTACGAGTACAAATTGGACTCATACCGAACCTTGATGACGGTCAAAGGCATTAAGACGAAGCCGGCAAAGGTTCTAGCGACGGCGCCAGAAATGAGGTTGGCCGATGGCGCAAGAGTCGGTAAGGACGAGGAGTGAGACACTCGGCTTGTAGCTTGGTCGAGGCCGAGGAGGCGCGATTGGGAAACATATTGGCGGAAAGAGTTGAGTGAAGTGAAATAGAGGGCTGACCCTAGACCCGTCCTCAGTGCTGAGGGAACAGTACCACGCCAGAGGGTTTGAAATTTGTCAGGCGAAGCGGCCACTTCCTTGAGATGGGAAGTTAGGGTTCGATGGCCGGACTGCTGCACTCGTGTCTTGAGCAAGTCCAGAGGTTGAAGAAGGACGGCCGAGGCGACTCCTGAGCCCAATCCGGCGAAGAAGTGCCGAGCTGCGCGCAGGGTGAGCACTGGCGTTGAGGACCAAAGCACGGTAGACAAATGGGAGCAAGACTCACAAGATTTTGACCGGCGTGGAATGGTTTGTTGAGACATGAGAGTCTGAACAGATCGCGCTTGGTGGAAAAGCTACCGTTGTAGTCGCTTGTTACGCCTGCATGCGCGTTGTCACCAGCGATGGGAATTTATTGGAAATTTCTACTGCAATTTATAGCCATATTGTCGGGATGAGGGTGTTGGACCATGGGTTTGACTGGCAGGAGGATGCCTCGTACAGTATCGCAGGTGCGCAGCCAAGGACTTTTATTCCTATAGCCGATGACTAGACAAAGTAAATGCTCACTAGCCCATTCAGGTGCCAACCGATTCAAGGCGGGGCGCCGTGTGTGATAACTTTCCTCGGCATCTTGGAGTAAACACCTTTATCGCATATACTCATGTTATGCAACTAGGTCGGTTTTTTCTTTTTTTTTTTTCGCCCCTGGGAACCGAAACCCCGTCTCCAGGGTGAAATCACACCTCTGAATGCTCCCAATGCAGGGTAACGTAGTTTAAACATCTATCTCTATAGACTCGCCTGATACGTACTATGATAATGCATGACGTTTACTGATGTTTTCCTCAACGCATATAGCGTGAGCTCCATGAAGTAGATGACGAAATGGTTTCTCTCCCTGGCATGTCGGGCATGCCGTCCATCTTATCCTGCGCTCTCCGACCCTCAGTGCGTCGCCCCAAGCAGAGGTGGAGAGTGAAAGAAAGCTAACCCGTCTGCTTGGCTCCTTACAACTCCTTTGACCCTTGCCCCTTGTAGTCTCCAATGACAGACTCGAGACGGCCTGATAGCAAACGGTGGCGCTTGACAATGTCGATCCACTCGGACTGTTTGGTGACTCGTTGGTTGTTTTCCCCGAACCTAGCAAGTAACATGCCGAAGTCACCCCCAAGTCTGCCTAAGCTGCCTGAGCAGTACAAGACCTGGGTCAGGATGCTGTCTCGAGCAGCTTGGTCTTTGATGACTGGAAGATATGCTGCCAAAGTCTCCAGAAGCATCTCGACAAGATGCGAAGGAAAGGTTGCCAGCGTCGGTGGCAGTGGTTGAAATGGATCTTCCAAGTCGTTATCCGGCTCGTCCGGCAGACTCGTGGCGTTTGGGAAGATGCTCTTGAACATGGAAACGACGCCGAAGCTTTGCTCGCGAAAAATCTCGACGTAGCGCTTGAGATACTTCTCCGTCTGCTGCCCCCCTGACCAGGACTGTAAACTGGAGCCTTGCTGTCTATGCCTCTCTTCGTCGGCGAGCTCCCGCAGGGGTTGCAAAGCACCAAGGGTGGCGTCTAAGGTAGCCACACGACAACAGAGAAATAGCAATGAAAGTGCGTGCTCCTGAGAATCACGACTGGCGGAACTCATGGGAGAAATGTCTGGGAGAACTCTTCTCAACCAGCTGACTGTCCGCAAAGAGGCAGCTAGCTTGAGTCCGGGGGACTTGAGGGCCGTGATCAGGTCGGCCGTCATCTTGACAATGGCTTCATCGGCTTGTTCAGAAACCAGATTCACCAAGGGGGAGTCTGGATACAAGGCGTGAAGTCTTCGAATATGAGCGTTCAAATCCAGAGCGGACGCGTAATTGGCTGGGACCGTGTTGATGGCCGAAGAAAGCAGGGTGGGAAGTTCCAGAACATCGACCAGTCGCTCCTCATTGCGGAGCAACAGCAGGGCGCGCTTTCTCTCGACCAAATCTTCATTATCACTGGATTTGCTGTAGATGGCTGAGAAGCGCAACGCCTCTGAGTCGAGCTTAGGAATTGCATTGCGTAGGTCAGCCGTGTCAGCGACAAGAGTAGGCAGAGCGCGGGTTAGACCGGCGTGGTGCGAGGCCGAATCGATGACAGATCTGTGAGAGCGTTTGGAGACTCCTTGGAGAGAAAGAAGAAGCGACTGAGATGACTGAGCGAGTGATTGAGGCTCTGTGGAAACCAACGCCGCCGGACTCTGTTCAGCGAGATGTGTCAAATATTCAAGTTTAGTCGTCCTTGAGGTTGGGTTTGGATCAGTCCCATGGGTCTGCCGCAGATCGAGCAGATCGAGGAGAAGATCGGCCATGGTCCAACCGTCAACGATGATAAGATCAAGCTGTTTCCATTGAGATAATAAAGTCCGTAAGATTGCACAGGACGTGGTGAGGGTGAGGGGGGTGAATAACGTGATGTCGATAGCTGCGATGTAGTTGTAACCTTGAGGCAATGTGGTATCGAAACTAGGCTCCGCTTCAGGTTCCTCCAGGGATAACTGTAGGTAGGTGCTTGGTGGGCAATACCTCCTAGGCAAAGCATGCTGATAATGTAGCAGTCTTAGGTCAGCAACTGATCATCAGTACTCAGGACGCGTCATATGCAATCAGTGCCTACGGATACGTAGATACTCAGAATATTGAAGTAACGGGGTTGACACACATCCCGTTTGTCAGTACCCACTTTAGTGCAACACCAAATGCACTCATCGGCTGCACGTATACCAGCGTGGGACGGACAACGGGAGTGTTACCCGCCGACCTGCATTATGTGCTAGGATAGCTGTGTGATAGCACCACGAGGTTGATAACACCTCACGTGGTCGTTCTTCTGATCACAGTACTCATGAAGTACCTAGTTCAGGCTCGAGAGACGCTGTTTTCGCGCCAGTCCAGCTGATGTCGTTGCTGATGGATGATCAGATCTCACGGGCCGAGCACTACTGCGTACATGAACCTGCAACAAGTGACTAAGTACCTTGGGGGGCCATGTACCTTGGCATATCAAGTTTGAGGCGCCTGAAAAGTGCGCCTCCTGGTGCTCTTCTCCCATGGTCCAAGAAGCACAGAGAGTGCGAAATACTAGCAGAACTTTCGTCACACGTCCCGCAAGGATTGCACTAACTATTGAAGGGTAAACCGTCCGGCGTACAAGATAATAAGCAGATACTTCAACAAGGGCTCAGAGCCTGCATCGTTCCGGCGTATCGCTCTATCTGCTCAAGGGTCGTCGGCCTATTCCAGAGAAACCCCGTGCGCTAGCGCCAATTTTTTCTCTCCAAGGGTCCTCCCTCATCCAGCTTAGCTCCCCCAACAATCCGCCAAATCCGTCCTCCAGCTCCCCACCATCCCGCATTCTTTGGTAGCATCAACTTCCACGCACTACCGCAGCTCACGGGACCTCACGTCAACCTCTGTCTTTCAGCCTCGTCTTCCCTGCACACCTGACAAACTCGTCGATCAACTCAGCGAGAAGGCGGCCAGCCCGAATATTCGACGTTCCTTGAAAAGCTGCTGATATCTCTTCCGAGCACGAAATCTTCGCCCCCTGTCTCCATCGCCGCACGTCTCTCGGACTCTTCCCGCCGTACACAAACCGACAACCGCCCCTATAGACGACGTTGACGACGCCTCCAGCAAGAGCATGAGAGACCCCTTTTTCCTCGAGCCCATACCATGGCTCGTCAAGGCAACGCAGCCCTGGGCCGATCTTCTGTCTCTGCCCTCATTGCCGCTCCACGTCCATGAGGTGCTCGCCGCTAGCTTGCTTTACTCGGTCATCTACTATCCGATATCACCCTTGGTTTCGCGCCTGATCGTCGGCCGCAAATACCTGGATCTGCCCAGGAAGAGAAGAGTGAACTGGGATGCTCACGTCGTCTCATTCGTACAGAGTACCCTCATCAATGGATTGGCGCTTTGGGTGATGTTTGCCGACGAAGACCGCAACGGGATGGACTGGCAGGAGCGCATCTGGGGCTACACTGGTGCGGCTGGCATGATCCAGGCTCTCGCCGCTGGATACTTCCTGTGGGATCTGGTCGTTACGAGCTGCAACATGGACGTTTTTGGCATTGGCACTCTGGCTCATGCTGTTAGTGCCCTCTTCGTCTACGCTCTTGGCTTTGTAAGTTGATTACAGTCTCCAGCTGTTTCCACGCTCCTCTAACCATTACATTCAGCGACCTTTCATCAACTATTATGGCTGCGTCTTCATTCTCTGGGAGCTATCCACGCCTTTTCTCAATATCCACTGGTTCTTCGACAAGCTGGGAATGACTGGCTCTCGTGCCCAGTTATACAACGGATTGATGCTGCTCTTTACATTCTTTTCCACACGCCTGGTGTATGGGACTTATCAGTCGGTGAGGGTGTTCTCGGACATCTTCGCGGCCATCGATACCAACCCTATCTTACCTGTCAGTGCCGACACTGGCGAGGTCATCACTTCGACTGTCATGAGGTTTGCGACACCTAAATCAACGGTACCTGCTTGGCTGGCTTTCACATATCTCATGAGCAACATTACTCTGAACAGTCTCAATTTCTACTGGTTCATTATGATGATCCGTGCAGTGCGCAAGAGGTTCCAGCCGGCCAAGACAAACGAAAAGGATATGCTCACAGAAGTATCGGCGACGAAGGCGACTTCACAGCCCACACAACCTGCAATTCGCCGACGCAAGGTATAGATACGGTGGAATGGATAGCTAACGCTAGTCGGGTTTGCCTGGCTGTGACATTTGAGGAAGGCATGCATGCACACGGTCCAGCAAGTCGTGCGTCCGTGATGGCGTGTATGATTAAATCTAATGGCCGGCGTACTGTACTGTCGTTTGCTGTAGTAATGGCGTTCTTGCTCGTTATTGCTTTAGATCGGATCAGAGCACGGAGTTGAGTGTATATATACATTGTCTCAATACTTGCGATTATCTGAAGTTCTGGACACCTGGCGACTCCTTCCTGCTTGTGGATCTTATATTCAATTCAACGCACCAGCCTCTAACCGTGCTCTCCCGCGGATTTTATGGAGCTAAAGATACGCATACCATGTTCCCAAGAAGGTGAAAACAGTCGCTAAGGTGCAATCGGTCTGCTTGTACTGTTTTCGGAAACTTATCGCTAGGGACGACCCCATGCATGCGAGCCTTCCCACCAAGTGTGTGCTAGGACTGGGTATGAGGAAGCAGAGCTTGCAGGCGCAAATCACAGTTGATGAAATTGCTCTAACATACAGGAACTTGACAAGACATCTGACAAGCCGCAAAATGGTATTAAGTACATCTATGCGAAGACGCTAGAATGACGACAGCAGACATACTTGCAGTGCACCTATGCTATGAATGGTGTGTCCAGAAAGGCAAACACAGCCAGAATTTGGCACTCGCTCTGGACCAGACCAGACTGGCTCTCAGGTATGTAAATGCATGTACATTTAGAAACCAAAAGGGTTGTTTGGAGCTATGCAGTCAGTCAGAATGCATGCATGAGCTTCAACAAAGTACGTCAACTTACTTGCTTGCGAAAGGTTGGCCCGCCGTCCGGTTGGCTGGGCCATTATCTTCTTGGCATCTCCCGTGACGCCAAAGCGAACCGGAGGTGGCGGCCCTGTCTTTTGTGGCTGCAACGGCTGAACAGGAGCAGCCAGCGAGCTTGCACCACCCAGACTATTGAACCCACCAAAGCCGGTCTGCTGGGGCTGGAAACCTGTTTGCTGAGGTTGGAAGCCAGGAGCTGCCGTTCTCTGTGGCTCCATTGCAGGAGGCAAAAATGAGTTGATACCAGTCGCCTGGGGGTTGAATGTCTGGTTATTCCCGAATTGCCCAGGGAAACCCGTGGGCTGTACCTGCATCGGGTTGAATTGGTTTGGACGCTGAGGGTCGGCAAAAGGGCTTTGATTGGTCGCCCCGGTCATCATCGGTTGCATGGACTGCACAAATTGCCCACCTGGTTGCTGCATGCCAGCGTTGAAGCCCATTACGCCCGGAATAGGTTGCTGCTGGGGGGCAGGATAGGGATTCATCTGCGACTGGGCTATCTGTTGCTGTTGCTGTTGCTGTTGCTGTTGCTGAATTGCGAACTGCTGCTGCAAACGTGCCTGGCTGATCTCATTCATGCTCTGACCCGGGGGCGCGACAGGCGTCTGGAATCCCGTCATCTGGGGAGCCAAAGGAGGTGGTGCAAAAGCGCTCGGCTGAGCCGACTGAGGAGCTGACAACGGCCGAGAAGGGGGCGGAGGCATCAGTACACCCTGGCTCGATGTTGCAGCAGGTGGAGTTGGTCTCTGTCGCTGCATTGGCTGCTGCGGCGACTGCGTCGAGGTAGTGTTCGGCCGGACTGTAGCAAAGAAGGACGGAGTAGCCCCCGTTGGCTGGGGAGCTTGCGCCGGTGCCAGCGGCTGACTTGCGGTGGGCTTCTGCGCCGGAGTTTGGGCAGTCCGCTGAGGCTCCAAAGGCGTGCTTAAAAGAGATAGCTCCTGCATGGAACCGGTGAGGGCCGGCACTTGAGGAGACGGCACAGACTGCGACACAGGCTGCTGCACAGGCTGAGTAGGAGGTTGGGTAGCCGCGGGTACCGGAGGTATCGGTGAAGATCCCGCGGCAGGTTCTTGTAGTTGCTTCGCAGGTTTCACGTCCCATGCGTCATCGTCGAAACCGCTTGTTTGGCCGGGCGAAGGCCCCGGAGCCGACGACAGCGACTTTGATGAAGGATCTTCAGCCGGGCCATCCTCCTTGCGCGCGAAGGCTTTCGGATCCACGACATCGCTTGTCTGAACAGCGGGTGCTGGCCGGCCCTTCCTTGTATTATTACGCAAAGCGCCACCGGGTCCCGTGAAGAGACCGCCAGAGCCGCCGTCTCCTTCAGCACTAGATTTGTCACCCCCTCGTACACGGCCAAACTTTTGATCCAGCGTGCGCATGACCTTGATGATGTCGCCCTCGCGAAGACCCAAGTTGCGGAGAATAGAGGCGTCCACGTCGGGAAGAACGCTCTCATCCATAGAGTCTTTGGAGAATGCCTGCGCATAACGCTCACACAGGCCTACGGCAACGTCGCACGAAAGGAAGAATTGAAACCAGTCATACTCGGGCTTCTGTGGCGGGCCAACCGATGCGCCAACTCCGCCAGAGGCTGAGTCTCGTGCTGCCCCCGCTTGAGAGGCCGCTCTGGCTTTCTTGACGTTGGACAGCGGCTTGTCCTCATCTAACGAGATGCCGGTAATGCGTTCCACGTATTCGAGATCTCCCACTGACATCTTGGCTACAGGAACCGCAATCTTGACGCCGTTCATCTTGTGTAAGTTGATCTTGCCATCTTTGAGCCCAAGAAATTGCGCGTCGACACTGAAAGACTTCGATCGGTCGGTCCATGTCCTGACCTTGGAAGGATCCGGCTCTGCGATGTGCTGTTAGTCTTACTGGTGACAGTTTTAGATGGGGCTGACATACTTGATTTTCCAGAACGGCTTTGACCGCTGCCTTCGCCACGTCCGTTTTCGCGTTTAATCCGCTGCCCATAGTTATTACCATTTTCTCTTGCCATAAGACTGCTGCCTCGCTTAGGTAGAGGCATTCCCGGCCCTACCTGCTGTGAGCTGTCTCTTTGCGCCGCCTTGACAGCTTCCTTTGTCAACCGTATCTCTTCTAGACGATTTTGCTCGACAGTCGATTTCGCTGCGTTGATCCCGGTGTTGCTGGGCGGCGGGGTAATGGAGCCTGTGATCTCAATGTAGCTGCTTGGAACAACGCCCTCTTTTCCGTTTTTGACGCGTCGCACTTGCCACCATTCCTCACTCTTGGTATCATCGATGATAACAACATCATCGCCAATTGCGACCGTTACTTCGTCGTCACCCTGGGCCATGAAATCGTACAGAACTTGCCCTTTCTTCTGGGCTTTCCCGGCTCCAGCTAAGATGACCTCTCTCAAGCCTTCTGCCCGAACAGCTCCAGCTAATTCGCCTAGAGCGCTGACAATCTCCTCAGCCGTATCCTTGGCACCTGCGTGAAAGTCTACACTTTTGCTTGGCCGTACAAGCTCGAGAAAGACGTGTTTCCCCTCCCGAGAATAGTGCGTCATCTTGTCGGCCGTCCATTCTTGCGACGGCCCGTCCTGAGCACGCTCTGGAGCAATGAGGATGGTACCAGTTGCCAGATTGACACCGAGCGTCGTGGGCATCTTCTTGCGCTTGCCCATGACAGACACCATTTCATTGATATTGTACATGTGGAAGCCGCCGGGTGCACGGTAAGGAGGTTCCTCAACCTCCGGAGAATTGTCGTACAGATGCGTATCTATCGATCTCTGAGACTGAATGCGCGCTGGCGGAGGCGCGACTTGAGATATGGGCCGTGCTGGCAGAGCCGGACTTCTCACATGCTCCTCGTCGGAGGGCTCTGACAAAGGGGACTGTGGCGAGATCGGAGGGCTCTCAGCACGGGGAGCAGGAGCGGAGCGCCCAGCAATAACCCCAGCCAATGCCGCCGCAGGATTATTCGGTAAGCTGGGCGCAGAATTTGTCGACTCCGGACGCTCCGGGTTGCTGTCGGGTCCAGGAGCCGGGGGAATGGAAGTACGTGACGGCAAGGCTGGGGGCGGCGAGGGCAGAGGGGCGGCATCTTCCGACTCGCTCATCTCGATGTAGTTGGAAGGAACAAAACCATAGTCGCCGTCCAGGCCAACCAAAATCCAATCAGGGTCCGAGGTGTCGTAGACGTCGATAAGTGCATCTTCTGGGAAGGACAGTTCTTCGTCAGTTTGACGAGTATATTCATACAATGCCCGAGCCTTTGCGATTGGTTGAGCCTGGAATCCTGTCAGCAACAGCACAGAAAAGACGGGATGCCACTACCTCTTCAACGTAATTGTTTGGGATTAAACCTTCGGGCTCATCCTCATCATCAGCGCTGGCTTTCTTCTTAGCTTTCCACCAATCGTCTTCGGCATTCTTTTCTAGTATGTAAAGCACATCACCGTCGCTGATGGCGAGCTCTCCCTCAGCTTGAGGCGCATAATCATATATGGCCTTACAGACCCCCGAGAAACCCATGGTGCAGGCCCGGATGGCTGAAGAGAAGCGACTAGTATGTGATGTTAAAGTCGGTCGGAGTTTGTTGACGGGCGGGTTAGGCGGGAAGCATGAGGATGGGGCCAATGTGCTGTTGATCGGTTGGCAGGGCCGGCGCTGTTGTGGGAGCGTTCGCAGCTCGGTGCCGGCGACCCCGGAGATGGGGTGATTGAAACAGACAGAGCCCAGTTGGATCGTATGCAACGTCTTCTATCGACAGAGAGGTTGTCAGCAAATTCGCAAATACCACACTGAGATAAGATGCTGCGGGTTCAGGAGAGACGATCAAAATTAACTCGGGCGCTAAACGACGCAGAAGCAAGATACTCTATCGCGACTATGTTGGATTGCCGGGAGAGAGCCAGATATGCGACGAGGAGTGGAGAAGGCACGCGAAGCAGGCGAACGTAAAAACCCTCAAGGTAGCTAAGGGTAGCTGGGAGGGATACAGGAGACGGGAAGATGGGCGATGAATATCCAGACGGGGACCCGAATCGGAGCGACGATGCAATGATGCAGGGCTAGGCGGGTGAGGAAAGCTTACCAGTCATGAAAGAGTGTAGTAGAGCACCGACTCTGAATAGCGTGGTTCTATTTGCTCGCGAGAGACTGTCAGCGGTGACCGGGAGCCAACGCGGAGTTGCAGATTCTAGGAGTTGACGATTGACGGGAGATTGTGGTACGTCGCTTGCGTTGGGCGGTGATGTAAGGATGGCCGGGCAGGGCTGGACGTTTTGGAATCGGATCGGGTGAGGCAGCCACAGGCCGGAGAGCAAAGTAGCCCCAGAGCATGCGGGAAGTGAAATTTAGCTTACCTACCTACAGACGTATAGATGGCAGGAGTGGTGGTGTTGGTGACAGAGGCAGCAGGCTGGTCGGCAACCGAAACCTGCCGTGATGTTGGTTGTGGTGAGTGATTACTGGATGAGATGAAGAGCAACACGACTTGGTCGGGACGGCCACCGCCACTGCCACAGCCACCTGCGCGGACAGTCAAGTCATCAGAGGCCTAACCTGGGGGCTGGGATTCAGGCACCTCCCCCTTGTTTGACCGCGCTACCTTACCTACCTTACCTTACCTTTGGCAAGGTACCTTACCACGTTACCCATACTTTACCTCCTGTCACTTTGCAGGTGCCTACTTACGTAGGTACCTTGGGGGTAGGTACCTATCCGCGACAGGTAAGTCAGGTACTTTAGAGATACCCTGCATGGGTAGGTAAGTAGGATGTTTTTTCTCAGTGGTGGTGGGCAGGGGGGCCGCATTTAGGTATTATGACGCTGGGGACTGCGCAGGCGGGCTTGAAGAAATGACAGCAACAGACCGGAATCAAGGTTGATCGTTTCCGTTTCCGCTGCTTTACCCAAATGGTGCACCTACGGAGGTATTCCATACTTGTGCCCAGAGAAACTCGCCATCGTCGTTGTCTTCATTACCTATTCCTTCCATGATCGGGGTCGGTTTTCTCCGTGGTCTGCGTGCTCAATCAATACAGTTTTGGTATGCCAAATGGCCTGACCAACCATCGCGTCGCATTACCAAAAATGCCACACTGGGCGAGGAGTCACAGAAACGGAACCTCATCATGCTGGCACCGTCACTTCGGAGGGTAATCCATGTCCTATTTCATGCCTTACAGCTACTCAATGTTCAGACCAGTGTTCCTCCTGTCAACTCACAGTACGGCCTGCTTCCCTTTCCATATCCATCATTTTGCTGCGCTCATTGTGAGCGATCTCATGGCCTCGTCCGTCATGCGCGCAACGGATCGCCTATGACGAGTGCCTGTCTTCGATGGTCTGGCTGCTGCCGCCCCCCTGTCCTCGGCTGACGACACCAGGGAACATTTTGGGATCCTGGCTTAAATTGTGGGCATCTACTGCCCACGATGCTTCTTTGGCTGAAGGCAGGCTAGCAGGTGAACCGACTACATCATCCCGAAAGACCGCCCTAGTGCTTGACGCATCTACTTCAGACTTCTCGCCACCCCCGGCTACAGATGCGTTTTCGGGTCCTCCGCTGAGTTGTTCGCGCGGAGCCCCGTGCTGACCGGCTATGATGGACTGAGCAGTGCTTTGCTGGTCGGCGCTTGTCATTAAATCCGAAGACGCCCTGGCACCGTACGCAATGTATTTGCGAAGCCTGAAGCCTTCGTTAGTCTCAATGCCACGTTTCGTAACGTTAAGGCCGCACTTACATGTCACGCTCTTCCATGAGCGTCTGAAATCTGAACTCCTCTCGGCGGTCCGGGACGTTTGTCTTCACCATGGTGTTGCCAGCCTTGCCAGGTAAGTTGTAGTTAGGTCCCAGCCATTGCTCCTTGATTGCGTTCTCGAACCCGCTCTGCTTGACCGAGTTCTTTGCCAACTCGCACATGTCCACGGAGCCCAACTTGTAGATTTGGGCGGCCACTGCGTATTCCTCCATCAATGGCTCTTTGGTGAAGGCAAACTGCAGAGGGTCGTCTGTGGAAAGGGACACATTCAGACCCCTGCGGAAGTATTGATAGAAAGGGTTTCTCTCGTAAGCTAGAAATAGGGCGTTGTTGCTTAGAGGCGACATGGCAATACCTATTTGCTCCAAGTAGAAGATGTACTGCAGAAGAGGGACTTTGCGCAGTAACAGTCCGTGGCTAATGCTATGGCAGCACAGCAAGGCAACGGCAAGATGTTCGCTGTCCCCTGCCTCACCGCAGTGTGGACGGAGCGCGAATGTGTTGAAGCCACGACGCTGTCGGAGGATATTGAGCGATGCCATATTGGAGAACAAGTAGTAGATCCAATAACTGTACGGCGGGTTCTGTTTTGAGTCCCATACCTTCGGCACTGGGAACTTCTTGAACAGACGCCTCTCAACCTTGCTCTCGTCATCGACGCTATCAAAGCCAATCACTCTCTGCAGGAAGATGTGCAGCTTTGGGTGACTTGATGGATCCTTGGATACCTCAAACAGAGGTTCGAATACGTTCTTCACAACTTGCTCAAACGTGTCCATGAGTCCGCTTGCCTTATAAACATCATACAGACGAGGAATTTGAATGAGCCATCGAACATTGTGAGAAAAGAGCTTGTTGTCAACGACCCAGGCGGCTAATTTGTCCCATTCGTCGAGTGACTTGCCATAGATGGAAATGCGCCATTCGACCATCTGGTATTTGCTTGACTCCAGATCAGCGATCACCTCCTTGGTGATCTCAGCCAAATAGCGTCCGTTGATGAAATTGTCTGTCTTCAAAAAGATTGTTCGGAGCCTCGACTCGCCAATTGGGTTGTACTTCAGGTTGAATTTGTCGAAGCGGTGAAAGGAATCCGTATGTGCGTGCATGTCCAAGGTATCGATGGACAGATCGTAAGCAGTAAGATTAATGCTCTGGAACACCTCTGCCAAGGTAAGATACCGACCGTCGCGGAAGAGCACTACCTCATCCGGGCATTTTTTCATTTTGCTTTTGATGAAACGCAGAAGGTGTTTTTGGTTCATACACGCAGAGTGATGAACGTGTGTGTCGACCTTACGCACGTTGTAAAAGTCTCTGTGGGGGACTTTCTTGCTGTCCGCGGTCTCTTGATACTCGTTGAGAAGCGCGTAGAGGTTGAATTTGCCTTCGAGATATTGCAGCCGACGAAATGCGAAACTCTTACTAGGACCATCCGAGGAGATACTCAAGATCTGATCAAGATCCATGTAGAATTCGCGAATAGTAGGGACACGAACGAGAGGGACACCACTCGCCTCAGCATCCTCACTGTCGAAGACCTGGTAGACACCACTGTCATCCAGCTTGAATGTCATTGTGTCAACTGCGGGCAGTGGCAGAAGATCATTCATATCGAAATCCTCCCCGATATCTTGGCCCGGCTTTCTTTTCTTCATCATCCGTTTTGGCTCCAGATCTGAACCTGCCGCTGTAGACGGCAGGACCATGCTTCCGGTCAGACTATTAGCAGTGCTGTTCATGGCGTCTGTTGATGCAGCTGCCCGTGCATGCTCAGCGCCCCAGGCTGGCTGTGGAGGTGGGGGATAGATCGCCCAGGATGCGTCGTCTTTGGGATTATCATCGGGGCCTTGGAGTGAGAGCCCAATGTACCTCTTTCGAAGGTGCACAATACTTTGGATGTTCTTGGAGATAGAGCTGAGCTCAGCCGTGATATGGGGATCTGTATCTGAGAATGCAGCAACACCAAGAGCTGCAGACTGGCTGGACATCGACGGGTTTGCGTCAGACCGGTGACTCGTATTCAGTTGAGCTCCTTCTTGCGCGATCTCATGCATCTCGTTCTGGAAGGGGTTACTTCGAGGAGGGGGGGCACCCTCTCCGCCGACCGATCGCCCAGGAGGCTGTGAAGGGTCCGGCAGCATCAAGTCTTCGCGAGCCGAGGTTTTCCCCCTCAACTGCCCTTTCTCTTGGCCTAATGGCGAAGAGTCCATAGCTTGATCGATGCCTCTTGTCCCCGCACTCGCGCCCGCGGAACCATCACGAGGGTCTGAACCCACAATTAAAGGGCTCCCATGGGGCGTGGAGTGACCTTGCGACCATACACCACTGCCGGTGCGTAATTGGCCAGCCTGGCTCCTCTGATAGAATAACTTGGCATCTGCTTGGCTCATCTGGCGTTCGGCAACAGGGTCGTAGAAAGCGGTGCGAGTGGGAAGGTCACGAGGAAGCATTCCGTCTTGCAGGCCTGACTCATCATGACTCTTGTCGTGGGCAGGACGGGTGTTCACTGATGATGCGTCGCCTTTGGTTTGCTCCTCTGAGCTTTCGGAGCCCGTGTCACCTCGGGAATCATGGGCGCCTAGATCGCCCTCGGAATCCGTGTCCAGGTCATGAAGCGAGAATGTGTTGCCTCGCTTGGGTGAAGTCGAGGCAGAGGTTGGGTCTTGTGAAGAATATTCGGTGTCTGGTCGTGTGTGATGTCAGTAAGGAAAGGCCGGCGTGGATGACTGGGGGGATGGAGGGGTATCGATTGATCTATCCACGATCGCTGGAGAGGGAACGACTTACCAGCGTGGAACACGACTTTCGTGTTCGGAATGGGGAAGAGTACATACCAGCCATGACGAGACGCTGTTCAGACCGCACTGCGTTCTATTGCAAAGCTCTTCCCCCCCAAGACGAAAGCTAGAAGCGGAAAAATCGAGATATTGAGCGGTATCGATAAGATCTGGGAGCATTATTGTACCGAGTACTTGCATCAAATGAATGCGGGGTCGCGGTCGGCTCCGATCTCCGACAGAGGATGACGCACAGGACGGGAACTCCAGAGCGAGTCCTGAACAGTGCGCGACTGCCTGCATATTAAAGGGGTCCCGAATGTGACGACCGGGGTAAAATAGCATCTGTACAGTAACTAGTAACTACGACGGATACCCTTACGTGTTCGCTGCCGAGAGGCGAGGCGACAGTCGAAAACTAAAGGCATGACCCATGTCGCGCAGAGCCATAGGTAACTCGACAACGTAGCGAGACCGAATGTTTTCACTGCCGTTATCCGAATGACTACACCAGAACAGGAATAGTACCGACCTTGCGACTTTTGGATTGACTGTCTTTTTCATTCTCATTGTGTAAAATTCTATACGCTGCCCATGTCTAAGTCACGAAGTCTATGTGTTACCAGCGCCTTTTTGCACTCTTGAGGTTTTGGCCCTTGAATCAAGGGAGTAGAGCCCGCCTGCTCCAAACACAATCACAGCCCCAATTAAGGTGCCCGCCGCCAAACGATTTCCAAAAAGCCAAATGCTGAGGAGCAAGCTGACTAGCTTGCGGATATTCAGTACGATTGTGACCGTCAGTGCTGAGGAAACAGCAGCCAAGAGGTTGACGCCTCGGATACATGCGTACTGCGTCAGGACGTTTGTAACGAGGTACGCAAGTTGGCTCGGAATGTGAAGCTTGGCCAGTCCCCCTTGCAAATCCTGGCCAAGGGTAAATCCAGTTGTCTGTCCTAGCATCGGCAGAGAGAGAGGCGGACTGTGGGCTAGACGCCGAAACTGTCGGGCGAGGGACGGCATGAAGGGTAGGAAGAGCGGCAGAGATAGCAAGTGGGAGTAGAACAGATTCTCTTTCCACTGTGGGCCGTATTTCTTGTACGTCTCCTCGGTGTACAGTCCCATGATAGCTGATAGAACCTGTGCCACGAAAAGTATAATCAGACCAGTCCCGAAAGCTGGTCGTTCACTCTGCGCAGCTGACTTGGTTGTATTCTGCAATCATGTAATGTGTTAGCATGCATCTCTGTGTCATCTAGTTTGTCGTTGCGCCTTGCCTTGGATTGAGAATCCGACCACGCAGCAGTAATTACACCAAGCGTCAGCAGAATAACAGCCACAATCTGGATACGCGAGTATTTCTTCCCGTATAGGGACCCGGCGATCATTGTTGTTATGCTGCCCCCGGACCGCAGGATGATATGGACTGGGACAGAGATGTCGTAGCTGAAAGCGTGGTTGTTTAACACATTGATGCTGAAAAAGAGCACAATGTTGATAAACCAGCGTCGCAGGGGCACCTTGTTCTGTCGTAAGAAGAAGGGTGGTCTCGATCGATCGAACTGCGAAACGTAGCCGGTCACGGCTACGAAGAGGAATTGGACAAACGTCAACAGCGTTCCACTCGAAGGCTCGACCCTAACAGGAACAAAATGTGAGCGACACGCAGGACCAGGCGAAGAAGGAGGGAGTAACCAAGATATAGATTTCTACTTGACACTTACTTGATGATAGCTTCCAGGGCGTAGACCTAGACGATACGAAGTCAGCAAAGGCTGAATCAATTTTGATCAATGACAGCGCACATTAGAGCAGCAACCACCGAAGATCAGGCCAAGCATGACACCGACGGCAATCCATTGAGAAAAGAGGCCGATTATGATGCGGCTGGCGCCTTGTAAGGATTTCTCGGCGTCTGATGACTGTTGCCCATTCAAGGTCAGGCTATTAGCGACCTTGTCGTATGGAGCTCGAGCGTTGACGCTGGTGTCCATCTTCTCCGACGGGAGCGATGAAGTGCCTTGCGGCTGGCCGCGTCTTCGAGTTGTCGCCGACGAGTTCATTGAGGCTATCGGAGCCTGTTGTAAACAAGTTGGAGTTGGAGTACAGTCAGAGTGTAAAACGTGCAGCGTGTCCGGGAGGCAAGACAAGACGTGACCAATGACAGCTGGACAATCGGCCCAGGTGCGAAACTCAAAGCTCGCTGTGCTGCCCTGGGCACCTTACAGCACCCCTCAAGGCACACAACCAAGCCTACCTCCACTATCTAACTTGAAAGTACACCTGCCACTCTACGGATACCTTACTTGGTTATGCTTGTTCCCCCCCCCCCCCCCNTTCCCCCCCCCCCCTTTTTTTTTTTTCCTTCCTTTGTTTTTGTTTTTTTAAATGAAAAATTAAAAGAAACGAAACAAATTGGAGCGCATTTTGCTTGTGTCGTACATTTACTCATCTAGGTTGTACGCGTTTTCCCGGCCTGACCTATCCGAAAGTATCGCGCATCTCCAGCGTCAGGTCAAGATGTCCCACGTACCTTAGTAGCTAGAAACGTAATTGGGAGTATGACCAGCAATTTGTTCAGGTGCTACTATTACCTTACACGACGGCACCATTGTCAGACGCTGAGGACAGATCGCGGCGCGCGCTGCAAGTGATTGCGGGTTGACCCCACTTGCCTATCCTGGCTAACTCGTCATTCATACGCGATTCCACACAAAGTAGTTGATCACATATCACGCCACGTACCTATTATCCATCTCGTCAGGAGCTTCAGTTCACGGATCCAGATAGTAGACAATAAACGTATCCATATGAGAATTTCGTTGCCTTCAATTCTGTTGCGGAAATCAGGGAGGCTTCGCCAACCGTCGCACGGCCAACGAGCCCATCTATCAGTAGTGCTTCTTTCATATCTGTCTCTCCCCTGGCGCCTTTCCGTCTCTCCTCTCCCGAAGCACCTGCATGATGGCCTGCGGTGTCCAACGGTTTCTGCACTACTGCTTTCCTCGAAGTTCCAGTCCTATATGGCAATAATGGCGGTGGTATGAGCCGACCAAGTCCACGACACAGATGCCGGATAGCAAAGCATCGTCTCAAGTCAACCTTGTCGAAGAAACCGAAGCCCTCTATCCGCGTCTGAAAAACGCCTTGCTGCGCCATGTGCCGTCCGTGAGCTTCCTCGCAAAATATAGACCTCGAGTGCCTAAAATCCATTGACTGACTCTATAGTGCAGAAAAGACAAATAACTGAGGAGGAAGGTTAGCTTGCAACGATATCCGAGGCAATATTGACGTCATCATCCACGGGATATGCTTACGTTGTTCGTCGCTGCAATGGCGATGCTATCCTCAAACGGGTGCCAACTCATGTGCAGGATTTTCTTGTTGAAATCGATCTGGTCGGCATCAGTTTCCTTGCGCATTCGTTGGCCCTGGCCGCCGGCTCCAGCAGCAGGACTGCCAGCACGAGAACCTCCCTTCTTGCCGCCGTTGGTGGCGGTTGGGCTTGTAGACGAGTTGATAGGTGTCGGCACGCCGACCTTCTTCGCTTTGAATGCAGACTTGTCAGCTTGTAAAACAACTTCAACCTCCTTCTCAGGGTCGGATGGGTAGATCATAAAGTTGTTGTTGTAGCTGCCCGTCATGACGTTCTTGGCATCGCCTGAGAAGACAACCTCAAACTTGTCAAAGATGCTGTCGTTCTCGTACGTGTCGCAAAGGCGTGGGCGCAAGTGCTCGTGAATCGGAATAGTCTTCACTGGCTGACGCTCCATGTTGATATCCCAGATCTTGACCGTGAGGTAATCGCGCGACAGGATGTAGCGGCCATCGTAGGAGAAGCGCACGTCGGAAATAGAGGATATGATTTCGGAGAAAAAAGACCTAGAGGACGGGTCTTCTTCTTGTTCAAATACTGGATTGGGGCATAAAACATGTCAGCAGCAGTAAGACTAAGATCGGCAGGAAGGAGGCGGGCATACGCTTGGCGTGTCTGTCACAGAGAGCGCTCTCCCGCATGTCGGCAAGCTTGATGGTCCCCTTGGAGCTCGCGTACATAAACCAATTGCAGCTCAACGGGTGGAACTCAGCAGCAGTGATAACCTCAGTCAACTCCTCCATATTGGCTGGCTTGATGTCGACGATGTTGAAGCTTTGATCTTGAATGTTGAGGTTCCACAAGTTGATGCGGAGGTCATCGCTGCTGATGAAGGTTTCGCCATCGCTATTGACGGATATGCTGTTGATGTGATAGGCATGAGCATTTGCATAGGTTCGGCGGGGCACTGCAGCAACAACAGTGTCGTGGTGGGTAAGACGAGGCATGATGAGATCTTCCGCATTCTTGAAGCGATGGGCTGGGGTTTGTCTTGGTGCACCGCCTCCACCGGCGATATTCGCGGGCGTTAAGTCATCGGATAAGTTGTTCTCCGCGACAACTTTGAGCGACTTCTCGAAGACCTTCCACAGCTTGATGGTCTTGTCGTTCGTGGAGAGCAGGTAGTGGGAAGCATTCTGACGGCGGCACCACTTGATCTTGTTGATCTTCTCCTCGATTTCAAGGGATTTGAGGTAGTCAAATTCGGGTTCATGAGACTGAAATTCCGTGTGGAACTTGTATTCGCAAGTCTTTTTCTATTCGAGGTTATTAGCCTGGCTCACGGTCAACACAGTTGGCTCCGACACACCGTCTCGTTTCGCTCAAACAGAACAACTCTTCCACCCTTGTCTCCTGTCGCGAGGTAATTGCCCGTGTGATCGAACTCGACCGTCGAGATAATATCAGCTAGAAGAGTACGTCGTCAGACAAACGGAAACTGGACACAGAGGGAAGGCGAATTGCCGTTGGCCGCTGGAGGGCCCTTTACTACGGCTCACCTTCGGTGATGTCCTCCACATCGCCCTTGTCTCCAAAGCACCTGTTGTACCGTGTGAGCAATCACCCAAGGCGAGAGCGTGGCAAGTTACGAAGAGGGAAGGAAAGTGGGCAACGATGCATCTCGGATGAATGGGGGAGAAGAATACATACTGGGTGAACTTCCACGTGGGAGAGTTCGTGTCACTGTCCACCATCTTTGCTTTCCAGCTCCGCAGAGGCTTCGGTATGGTATATGGGGCTTTCGGGAATCAAGCGAGGCGGCGGGGCACGTCGAAAGTAGAGCGAGCTCTAGGCGTGTGGCAGATGGGATGCTGTCGTTCAGCGTTGGGAGCAGACTGATAGGGTTGGTACAAGCCACAAGATCGACACAAGAAGGCCCAGGAGGTGAGTAGGTAGAGCGATGATTGATGGCTGTGGTCGAGTCGGGTGCGCGCAACTGGTGCAAAAACACGCAAGACGCTGACAAGAGCGAGGGGCAATTGTGGCGGGCGGGCGACCTGCGTTACTGAAAGCCTAGAAAAGAATACGAAGTCGACGATCGGAGGAGGGCGGTCGAGCAAGACGAAGAGGAAGGGAGGAGACCAAGCTCAGGTAGGAAGGATGTAGATGGTTGGTTGCTGTAGCCTAAATTGAATTGGTTTGGCGTGGTTTGGTTTGGTATGGTCTGGACGGTGAGAAGGCGTACCCAGCCGGCGTCGTTGGTAGAGTGCAGAGTGGATTTGCAAAATCGACAGACGTCTGGATTTCGTCAGATGCAGCGACAGGCAGGAACAGAGGTTAGGATTCAAAGGTCTGGCGAACTGGAAAAGGCGTGGGACGGTGCACGGTATTGACGGGAGGGGGGTAATCGCAGATGCGGGCAGTCAAGAGACAGGGTGCGGCAAGAATGCGCCAGGTTGAGGTTGGGGTACGTGTGTGTGCGTGGGAGGTAGGTACCTTAGGTACGTACGTGCGGATAGGTAGTGCGAAGACGCCTTAGGTAAGTAAGGTATGGAAGGTTGGGCTGGATACATGAGTGGATAATTGACGCTGCGAGCCTCCATACCTTAGCCTCTAGATACATAGTAAGTAAGATAGGTAAGTAGGAGCCTAAGGTACCTAAGCATAGTGAGTGGGATGTGTCGAATTCCTACCTCCCCACCACGCCTGCCTAGGGCCGTCGGGCTCATCTACTACGCTTACTGAGGTACCCTGAGGGCGGGTGCTTATTAGGGATGAAAAGCAAAAAGTTGAGACCGACAGCAGCAGGGTTCGAACCTGCGCACCCGAAGGTACTAGATGCCCGAATATTGAAAATTCAAGTCTAGCGCTTTAGACCACTCAGCCATGCTGCCATATGTTATGTAACATGACAATTAACACTGTGCCTGCAAGCCGGTTCTTGAACTTATATATCCTTGTCGAAGCCCACTAGCTAAATGCCTCATCCTGTCATGGACGCAAAGCGTGTGTTCCTTACAGGTAGCAGTGAGTTTCTGTGTAGATCTATGGTCTCATCAGCATATAGACTATTAGCATCGTCTGTGGTCATCTAAGAGATGGGGCTTAAGAGACTATCCTTCCGCTTTGGGCCGGCTGGGCACGTGCTGCTTTGCGAAATTCAGCTAAACACAGGGAGAACCTCGGTTACGTTTCCAAGCTGACGTTCGCCCAACTGTGTCGCCTGGGATTTCATGAGACCATAAAGCCTTCCTGCCGCTTATGTGTTATTCCTCAAGAAATTGAAAAGAAGAAGAAGAAAGAGGGAAAGTAAAATAAATCCATGCTCGTTTGCAATGAACCAAGACGACCGTTCAACTGCACCTGACTCCAAAGGCAAAGGAAAGGAGCCTATCCTTTCATCGCTGCCTCAAGACGACGGCCAAGACCAACGAGGCAATCAGCAAGGTCACAGCTCATCAGAAAACGGATCTTTCACTTCTCGCCTGGCCACTTCAGCTGCCAGTCTGTCTCGAACCATGTTGACAAGTCGGTGTGCCACCCTCCCCAGCGAAAGCTCAGAAAAACCACAGTGGCCGGCCATCGCAGCGCAAAATCTCGCTCACCAAGAACAGACGGCAACTTATCATGATGAGAATACCGTTGGGTCTGGTTCCAGACCAACATCTCTTCAGTCGCGCCACTCGTCTAGTGTGGCCGAACATCAATTCGACGACTTTATGGACGCCCAAGCAGGTCCAGATGACGTGAGCCGACCTCGACAACCAAAGGCTCTGATCTCCTCTCAACTATGTGTCAAATCTGCCGTAAGTGAACAAGAAGCTCGAGATGGCCAGCAGGTCATGAATCTTCTGGACGCGCCTAGCGAGCTACATATGTTCGATGACAATGACAGCTGTGGGGAGTCCTCTGTATCCCCTTACACCAAGTCGTCACTGAGAACGGCGTTGTTCGGTGCCAGCGAACGAACGGGCTCGAATTGGACCATGCTTCTTGACTTCCAGCCCAACCTCTTGATGGGAGACAACCTTGCTGAAATCCAACATCATTTCGGCGATGTTGACCCGGAACAAGCAAAGGAGCTGTGGATGGACAGTTGGCGCGACGTCTTTACGAGCTACACAGACGAGGTCTGGGGGGACCTCGGTTCCCTCGTCCGAGAGGCCCAAAAGGAAGTCGAAAAGGCGCAGGAGCATGGGCAGGGGAGAACCGATATGAAGGCGCTACAGCGGCTCAGACAGATTCTAGCGCATGTTCGGGGACCACACGATTAACACGACACCGAGGGAGAGGGACGTGGAAGGTCTTGGGAATAGAGGGTGGCGGCGGTGAGAGGTGAGGGTTGCTGGGCCAACTCGGCATGGTCCAATGACATCATGCGGATGGATGTCCATCCTCGCCAATTGCCCGCCGACCAGCCGCCAGCGAAGTCCAACCCCCCTCATTCGTCTTGGCCCTATCTCTCACAGGCTTGCTGAGCGCATGCATGCATCCCACCCAGGAGGCATGCACGGGGCTGGGGTTGGCCGTCTCACTGACACGATGCACACTGCCCGACGCAGCCGATCCCACCGTACGGAGGAGACCTCTTCCAGGGCTAGCTTACAAAGTACGGATATGGGCCCGACCCTCAAAATCACACCAACAGGGAAGTCCGAATGGTGCGATGACCATGCTGGCGACGAGTCGGCGATGCATGTGGGCAGGCTTTAACGTCGTATTGGGGCAGCTAGGACCTGGAGAAATAAAACATTGCGGCTTTCCTCGCTCTCGACTGAAGTAGCTCGGCGTCTCCTCTTCCCCATCTCCTTCGGGGCCTAATTCACTTCACCCCACGCTGCCTTACTTGGATTCCGCACGTACTAAGCTGCCGTACCGTAATTACCTACATAGGATAGGAACCTTGGATAGAAGCGGGCGAAACCACACAGCGATCCAAACTCAGACCCGTCGCTGGCAACTAGCACACATACAGACCTCCGACATGAAAGTTTCCGTTTGGACGAAGCGGCTTATGCTGCTGTTTGCGACAGATCCATTATTTGCGACCGCCAACCCGACTCCGACCCGAACCCAGTCTGCAGTCCCAACCGCCGCCTACCGAGCTGGCGAAGCATTGCTGTTCAGGCGCCAGGATTGCCCTGCTGGAACAAGTCTCTGCTCCAGTTCCTTGGGCGAGGATTTCGACGGCGTCTGTTGCGCGACGGGGCAGCTCTGCGCATATGATGACAGCAATAACGCAGCCTGCTGTCCGTCTGGGTATGAATGACCTCAAGCGCAAAATCTTATGTTTACGCAAGCCATATGAGCGTTGAGAACTAACGTGCGCTATGCCGACAGAGCTGTCTGTACCGGCGCCGCCCCGACAACGGCACCGGCCGCTCCCACCGCCGTTTCATATGTGCCCAATTCTTACTTCCCGTTCCCGTTCGTCGCCACTTCCCTTGACCGGGGCGAGTGCTCCGACGCCGTTCAGCAGTGCTCACGAAACTACGAAAGCTGCGTCACTCAACTGGACGGTGATGCAGGCTTCGGCGTCACTGTTGTCATCCCCGGCGGAGGCGGCACCACCGTCGCCGCCACCCGGGTGGACGTCGGAACCTCCGCCACGCCGATTTGCGCCAGTCTTAGTTCTCGCGCCTGCCACGGCATAGCATACGACCAATGCTCACAGACGACAACAGTGGACGGGGTCGTGATAAATGCGGCTGCCCGGCCGACACCAGCTTCCGTGGCTGGAATGGTTGCTGGTATCGGAATCGCCGTCTTTGGCTTCATGCGATGAACTTCACTGCAGATGAACACGTCGTTGACAATATATTTTGAGTTCTTGGGGGCAGGTGTCATGAGGTCCTTCTTCTGCTTCATTTGAAGGTTGTGTACTGGAGTGCCGCCGCGGACACATGGGTAAATGATATGACTAAACGATCCCACGATACCAAAATTTTGCTTCGACAATACCATCGCCGCACCCCTCACCACGTCACTACCTCAATCGTCATTCTTTTCACCGGGCTCCCATATTCCAAGAAACCTGCTTGTCACAGAGTCCGTCCACGCCTCAAGGACATTGATGACAAACTCCAACATGCGGCCAAAGAAAAATAGGCTGCCGAAAGAAAGGCCGGCAATGACAGCGAAGCAGATCCAGTACATCTTTGGTGTGTAGTGTTCTACAAGGCCTGGTATCTCAACGGAGAAGTAGCTAGTCATGAAACTTATGGGCAGAAAGAAAACGCTCAGCTTAGCAAGGAGGGTGGCGCTCCTGCTCAGACGGGCGGTGGCCTGGGAGTCCTTTTGAGCCGTCAGGTTGAAGTACTAAAAGATAGAGTATCTCCGTAAGCTTTCGATAGCGGCATTGCATTGAATGGCATATTGAGAGAGCCTACCGTGTTTGACAAAGCATCCAGCTCATCCAAGTACTCGTGCATTGTGTTCAGCATCAACAACTGCAACCGATCCTCGAGTCGTTCGAAGCGACCCCTTGCTGACGAAGATATCTTGACTTCATCCGATAAGCCGCCAGGTGACTCAGAGGCAGCACAGGGACATTGCTTGTGGCTATCGACGCATCTAGGTCTACAGATGCGCCTGATGAGGCTCTTGTAGCTCTCAAACAGGTGATGAAGCTGGCGAAGTTCCCTCCTGAGGGTGTGCAAGGGTCGAATCACATCACCGCTCTCCAACTTGCTTCTCCTACTCTGCCTATACGTCAGTTTGCAGTAACTCGCCGAGGGAAGGCGAAGCATTTCTAAATCACTTACATTGCTTGCAAGAATTTTCTCTCTCTGTGATCCAAATGGTCAGAAAGGCATGCAATCTTGCTCATCTTGGTTGATACTTGCCAGACTATGGATTCGATCGCGTGAAGCTGCCAGCACCGGTACCGCCCCTAAATAGTCCTCGAACAGGTAGAATAACCTATATTTCAGGCATTCAGCACAGTCCGAAAGAATGAAGATGTTGAATCGTTGGAAGGGTGTACAGTACAGGTTACTTGAGCCTTCTCGTGCGGCATTGCACCCGGGCCCTGCAGTAGGCAACGCTTGCCTGACTGATTTTAGTGTGATGACGTTGTTGCTGTAGTCGTCGACGCCGTGTTTGGACAGTTGGCGAAGCACCGCCATGGTGTTGGACCGCATGCCTCTTAACTCTTCATCTGCCAATTTCGCATCTTCTGGGTAGACATATGGTGGTGTCTCATGCAATGACAAAACAACGGCTGAGGAGGGTCAGGAGATGCCCGCGAGACGTCAACTTTCCGGCCACTTCGGATGCAGGACTTACAGTCAGAACAAAGCGTGAGCCATGACCAATGCTTTGGCGGAAGCAAACCCGTTTTGTGTTCTGCGTGCCTTGGGTTGATTGGTCGACGGTGTAGCCAATTTGCACCGATGCAAAGGACTAAATACTGGTTAATGGTCACTTTGAAGCGTCAGAGACACATGTTTTACAACATACATTGCTTTCCCTGATCTATGGAGGTATAGTTCATTGTTTCCTTGACTAGTTGATAGATTTCAATGTCTTCCGACATCTGCATTCGGGCGTCATGTGGCGAAACACTCTTAGCCTCCGTCGATGAGGATCCAGCCTCAACATCCGCATGGTTAACACGCTGGGCCGAAGTCGTGGTTTCCGCCATGGATGCCCTCGTAGCAGACGTCATGAGAGCCTGAAGTCGCGATGAAAAACTATAACGAGTGCCAATGCACTCAACAGCTGGACGCTGGGTACTCGGTGACCAAACATTGATCCATCGTATGACGCCGTCGGGTGGTCCATGACCCAGAAGAATGCGAAAATCATCTGCGCTCAGGTCGAAGGCTATAGTGGCTTGCTGATGGCTGAACTCAACAACAAAGTTACGGGCCTTCTCACTATTCGTCTCGCACACAGCCTTGTCGTAAACATCCTTCTGGTCAAGGTCATAAAACTCGATGGGCGATTTCCTTGGCATATGGGCTGCCATTTCGGCGTGGGGATGATGACCAAGAAGTTGTCAAGTGTCAGGCGACGCGAACAAAACGGGCGAAGACGTGGAAGTTCTCGGAGGGGGAAGATGTCACCGAGAGCTGTCTCTTGCCAGATAAGCAGGTATCTCCACCCTGCGGCTGAGCATCGTGGCTGAACAAATGACCCTGTTGCGCTGTCTCGTTTGATTTGCTGGGTTTCTCCGAGATGCAGGCGACATTGTGTTGGTTCTCGGCGGTTACAACCGTCGGCGCCTAATTGCGATGGACAGTGTGCAAGCCGCATGAGACAAAGACAGGGGAGTACACTGAAGCAGTCTCCAGCCGCTTCGTCTGGAGAACATTCCTCACGCCATCCGAACCTCATGTTTCGTAGCAGCCGACAGATCTGCCTCGCATAATGAATACAGCTTTCTACCCGCAAGCCCTCGTCATATTACTGAAACAGAGTCTACTACAGAGTGCCCAGAACACATATTAACCTCGCCACAGCAAACGCCCCAAGACCTCCCCTGGAGCCTCGACTTTATCGCCCAGAGCCAGCTCGATGAAGTTCCTGGCGACTGCCTCGGCCTCTTGGAGACGTGCCTGATCCTCGTCATCCAACTTGGCACACGCTGCCCCAAGATCTTCGTTTCGCGCCAACAACAGTATAATCGCTTCCGCTCGCTCAATTACAGCTTCGCTGACCCCATTGAGTGCCGCGCACTGGCTACCGAAGCTAGATAGGCTTCTTCCAAGGCGAAGGTCGTAAAGGAAAACTACCCGGTCGTCTATTGGGGCATCCAGGTCGAGACGCACGTCCATGTAAGCAAAGGTTAGGCCTGGCCGGTCTCGCAGGTATCCGCCTTCGAAAATCTCATGACAATGCGTAGTTATGAGAACCTTGGGCGTATCGGTACCGAGCGCAGTGAAGTGGTCAATGAGTCCTGCCATAAGCCCGGCTCCATCGTCGGCCGTGGTGCCCTTACCGAACTCGTCAATCACGACGAGACTCCGGCGAGTAGCATGCCGCATGACAAAGGCTCCTTGTCTCAAGTCAGTCCCAAAAGTGCTTTCCTTCTGTGACACGCTCTCCCCCGTCGAGATGCGAGTGAGAATCTGGTCCGTAATTCCTATCGTAGCAAGACTGGCCGGGACGAAGCTTCCAATATGGGCTAGGTAAACAATAAGAGCGACTTGTTTTATGTAGACGCTCTTGCCCGAATGATTAGGCCCAGTAATGACGAGTGACGTAGTTTCGTCATGGTGACCTCGAGGGTCACCGGAACCCCCCGCCAGCATGCAATTATTTGCGATGAATGAGGGTGCGGCCAGTTCTTGAAGCGGGTGGCGTCCCCCCTGGATGGAGATAACATTGTCGGTTGTCATCGTCGGAGCCGTCCAACCATACTTCTGAGCCCCCCGTGCTAAAGCCACCAAACAGTCGAAGTCGCCACACGCATCCGCGGCGTGGCTTAGGACGGGGGCATGCTCAAGAACCTCGCAGGCGAGATCGTGAAGAATCTGTATCTCTAGGTCTTCGCCAAATCTCAACCAGGTCTTCTCGTAAGGTGCCAAAACATCAGTACGTACGCACCTACGATTCCCGAATAGGGGTCACCTAGTTGAGCGTCCAGTTCTGCCATTCGGCGGTTCTTGAAATAGACGCTACCCCCGGTGATGAACATAACTTCCCATGTGTCATCATAAAGCTCTTGTCCCATGTACGCGGGTGTGCCATCTTGGCGAAGAGAGACCACCGTGAAAAAGCCTAGCTGTGGCCAAAAGACGCAGCCAGTGACACATGGCCGAGCCCATTCAGGGAGTTCTTGTGACATTGAATTGCGTATATCGTCCAGAAGGGAATCCAAGCCTTGATAGTCTTGCTTTAGTTTGTCGAGCTGCACATTGACATGGGGCCTCACTGCAATCCTCGAGCTAGCCTTGACTTCGTCAAAATCGATAATAGAATCGACTTTCTCAGCAACGCCTTTGATGACACGAGCGGGAATAACTGAAAGTACCTGGTAAGACATATTAGCAGGATGAAGGGATGTTGAGTCATATTGAGGACTTACTTGTCGTACGCAAGCAAGGTCATGCGTGTGTTGCAACTGCAGCATGGCATCTCGAAGTTGAAGAATAGCAATCGAAAATCGAGTTAAAGACCACCAAACACCACGGCCGATGGCTTGTCCGGTTGGGATATCTGCTCCTCTTCGTAACTGTTCCAGAGGCCTTCGTACATCCTGAACCTTCTTCAGGGCTCCGTACACACTTTCGAGTGCTTCTGCATTGTCGGACTGAAGCAGGACCGTGACAGTTTTCTGCCTCTCGCGGATCGTGTCAAGATTGAGTGAAGGTCGCAAGAACATTTGCCGCAGTTTGACCTTCCCTTGAGCAGTGCTTGCGAAGGGATGAAACAGACCATACACCGACAGGCTCTCTTTTGAGCAGGAGCCCGCTGTGGCCGAGCCAGACATCACCCTGTTCGGATGAAGTTCGGACTGGAAAACTTGGAGCGAAGAAATCGTTTCATCGGTAACCAACATAGAATCCGAAAGGGCAAACATCTGGATCGAGGCTACCGGTGCCCTTAACAGACCACCAGCAGTGTTGCCAATGCGAACGATTTCCCCCAAAACGGCCCCGGCACACCCAATCTAGCAGATATCAGCCCACTAGAGCTCGCCTCTTGATAAATCAAAATTTGAACCTACTGATGAAACGCAATCGAGGTCGACGAATGAGCCAAGGCGCATGAGCTTGATGTTTCGACGCCCACCTTGCGCGACGTCAATAGGCAAGTGACCGGTAGCAGTGTTCACCACAATTGGCCCCGAACGGATAGGTGGCAAGTCTATCAACTTGTCGATGGAGGCCTGGTGGTTGAACTCATTCGAGCCGACAATTCGCAGGAGGTAGCGCTCAGTTCCGGAATCGTCTAAATCCGTGCATTGAGCATTGCTCCGCAGTATCGCCACAGAGAAACCTACCTTCACGGGGAACGACCTTGTGCTCTTCGAAGAAACGAATCACCTCATCGGGCATCTTCAGGGGTAATACAACCACCGTCGGCTCAACGTGAACCATGAGAAAATTGATAAACGGTAGCAAACCGGTGTCGGGCGCGTCGCGCAGTAGATAGATAGTATCCTCAGAAGTCCTGTAGTAGGCGCATCCAAGAGCACCCTTGTCCCTGACATCAACAGCCATGACAACCTCATCGCACCATTGTTCTGGATCAGGTGCCTCCCCGGAAGAAGGCCACTGTCCATGAGCGGAGAACCGTGGCTGCGCCGAAAAACGGGGGTGCAGACTTCTAGTCGGTGTCGATGAAAAATCGTCAACAGGCAAGTGTTGTTGCAAAGCCGAAATCTGAACTGATGCGGCAGCGCGTACACCCTGACTCGACCGGTCTCCGCGGCGTACTGAGTGAGCACCCCGTGGAGTAGGAAAAATGGGCGAAGTACGAGTTGGCCCGGCAAGACTGGGACTGCGTCGCTGGCGGCGCTGAAAGGGGCCTCGCAAGATGGACGGAAGCCCTGACTTGCTACTCGAGCTGCTCCTCAAACGAGATTGACCGTATCGAGAGTGGAGGCTAGGCCGGCCACTGGCAGACATTGCGGCACTCATGAGGTTTTGACCGAAGGTTGCTAGAGGCAGCGAGTAGAGGAGAACACCATGTTTTTGTTTGTCAAAATCGGACGCCCTCAGGCAATAAAGATAGAAATATTCTACTTTGGCAGCGGTGGCCTCGAAAGGGCGTGGCAGACACGTACTTGCCTTACTGCAACAAGGAAAAGAAAATGTGGCAGGTGCAGGTCCCCAACCATGCAGCTTCGTCTCGTGCGAGGAAGGTGCACCCCTTGAGGAAGTAAGCGACGGCCAGACATTAGGAAGCCCGACTTCATACATGCGGAAGGGCAAGGCGGTAGTGAGTATGACCACAACACAAACATCGTTCGGCCAAGAATGTGCATTCATCCGACATTACACATACATCATCGAACAAGAACTAGGGCTAGTTCGTGATGCGCGTTTTTGTTGAATCAATTGTCCACTGGTATCATATTTGGTGGTCTAGTCCGGTCGAGAAGAAGATCCATGGATACTTCGTGGTGACCGCTTCCATATATCTGCAAACCAGACTGGTCTCATGACGAGGCAGTGGTTGCTTGGGTCTTCTTGTCGTCTTTAGCCCAATTGGCGAAGTCGCCCCTCTGTTTCCTGATATCGACAAAGCCCGGCCGGCTCTCGAGAATTCGAAAGGGGTTGCCCACGAAATCTTTCTCAACTTCACCGCTGCCACTGAGAAACCCTGCCTCACCCTCCCTCTCAATTTTGCCAGCCCAGACGCGCCATTGAATCGGTCGAAGGTTCGGGGCACCCAGCACAAGTCCCAGTACAACGATAATGGTCGCGACTGCCGTTTCGATCGTGATGTCTGCTGGTAGCGAGGTCGTGGCAGAATCAGGTGACGAAGACAAAGGCGATGCGGCTCGGAATGATTGTAGTGCCGAATGCTCCTGGGCTGAATAGCAACTGTTGCATAAGATACGACGTCAGTCATGAACGGCTGCGGAGAATGCGAGAATGGTCGAACTCACGCGTGACCCAGCAACACAAGCCCAAAGGCAGCAATGGAGCGGGAAATCCACGTCATAGTATCTTCATGCGTCGTGATGCGTAGGGCGTCAAGCGAAAGCTTCCTGAGGCAGTGGGCGAAGATGGAGTCAAGTTGCAGGCCTCAGCAATTGCATTTACATTAATCAGGTGCTAGGTAAGGTATGTATCTTGCTTACCTCGGAGATGAGTCGTTATAAGGCTAAACGGGCTACAGGCCGTGCGACTGTAACAGGGATTATGCATTTAAGGGGGTTCAGGCGCCGCTGGAAGATGTACTAATACGATCTCTTGGAACTTCGAGTTACGTTTCGACCAGAGCAGTGGCCGGCCGTTACGTGATAGCCCTTAAACATCGATGGTGAGCCACAGGTCCCCAACCGCCCATGCAGAAGCCTTGGATTCTAAACTCGATGCGCCCTGGTCATTCGCAGCCGCCGTGCATGAGACTGAGGAACGGATATCGGCTCCCACCAGTAGTAATGAGTAGATGTGCGCCACATTTGCTACCATCTAGGCCTCGGTCAAGGATACAGGACCAGAATGCCCAGCTTGCAAAGGATACTCGCAACGAGGCCCACAACCTGGTCGCAGATGTGTAAAGTCATTTCTACTCTGCTCCGGGTGTCCGACCGGTGTCATACAATACTACCTAATCTCCATGTTGATCCAAACTCCGCCTGTAAACAGTCACACACCAGCCAAGCATGAAGAAAACTCCCCACAGCCCGTACATGTATTGCTTACCAGCTCATTCCACGCTGAAAACGCGAGATTCACCTATCACAACGTGCTGTATCGCGTTGTGCTCACTCAGGCTGGTCTATCCAGTTGTTGAAGTGGCTTCCTTCAAGCTCCTCCACCCTCCAGCTGCTCTCTTGTCCCCGCAGGATCTGAAGCTGTGGATCATGCATGAGATTCTCGTCATAGCCTGACAGACCATCAAGTAGGTCCTGTCTGCCGTCGCCGAAGCCAAGCGGATTCGTCCATCTAGGCTCCAGCATGGGATCCCCGTACGGGTCACCATATGGATGACCTCCATGACCCATCAAACCCGGATCAATCATGGGCTCAAGGCCGTCGTGGTGGGACATGGGTCCGTACTGGCTCATACCGTCGAAGCGGCCATCCATGGATGGGGCGGAGTAGCCCATTGCCGGAGATGGCGTCTTTCTGATAAGAACGTCCTCGACGAAACCGGTGGCGTCTTGTCGCTGATGAACGCTCTGCTGGTAGTACTGCCCACCAAGGCCTGTCTGGCTGTACGGTGCTGGCAGAGGCTTGCCAGGATTGCTGTAGTGATACATGGATTGTGTCTGCACTCCAAGACCCATTGGGCTGCCTGCAAGCGGTGGGTAGTTGTGGAAGATGGATGCCGGCGCATCGTTGCGACCGTTTCCTGGCTTCTTGATCTGCCTACTTCTCGAGCTTGCTCGGCTGGCACCCCATTCGAGATCTTCCAGATCACCCTCCTCGGAATCTCCCTCTCCGTCCCTTGCCTTGGGCCTCGGTTTTGATGGTGTGAACTTGTAGCCCGGATGGGCTTTCTGGTGATTAGCTCGCTCCATTTTAGCCCACTCGTTGAATTGATCGCGGACGTGTTCAGGCTCCAAGGGCCAGCCGCTGCCGCAGACCTGAGATACGACTTGATGGTTATTTTGCGTGCAGAGACTCTTGGCCAAGTTCTGGTACGCCTTGCGATACAGCATGAATGCATTCATAGGCCGTTTGATCCTACCAGGCGTCTTGCTCTCCTCCACCTCTTTCATTCGCGTTTCCGCCGATCGCTGGACGTAGGCCTCGATGTCAGCTACGGGCACTTGAGGCTGCTCTCTCGCCAGCTCGCTCAGTGGCTTTTGGAGCCCATCAACCTTCTTGGACGATTTGGCACGCTCCTTTTTCTTCCTAGGGGTTGATTTCTCGACGCGGCCAGTGCGGGTTGCCAGAGACTTGCTGATAGAAGGCCCTTTGTGAATGTTGAGTCCGCTTCGGGTTGTCAGCACATCAGACGCACGGGAGGGCGTCGGCGGTGATGTGTCAGGGGTACTGTAGGGCTATGAAAGAACTTGTGAGCTATTTCAATCCACTTGTTGCTGCGTTTGATTGCGTACCTGATGGTTTAGGTCTCCGGAGAGCGGTCCATAGAGTGAGCCACCACTGGTATCATAGCCCGTATGGTTGTACGAGTGCTTCAGTAGGTCAGTTTAGTCCGCCTTCTAGCGCGTTCGACGTGGTTGCTACTTACCATCTGGCTCTCATGTCCACGGTGGGAGTACGGAGAGGTATGATCGTATGGCATGTCTTGTTGAGGACCAGGCGTACCGTATCGAGATGGCGTTTGGTATCCACCCATATCATTTGGGTGCAGATGCTCTCTTGGATACGATGTGGTTCCGGTCGGTCGTATCATTTGATGCAGTCCGTTGGTGTAGATGTCATCGTTTGAAGGAGCTGGAGAAGGTGGGCCGTTGTGTGCCATTCCAACAAGTGAGAGAATGGTAAATGACGAACAGAAAAGACCGGCCCGTCAGAGGATACCCAACTAGTTGATAGTCGATGGAAATGTGGACAGGTATGACGAAATGAAGAAGATGTTGATGATGGGGGTAGTCCAAGGCTTCAAATGAGCTGGGTGTTTTGGTCTTTGGTTCCCTGAATCTATCACAGCAACCCTTTTCGTTTCTAATCCTCAAGTGGAGATGTTCTTGGTACTTGTGGGAGAATCAAGTAGTCGCAGGACGACCCAGGTGATGAGGGTAGGACAAGGCTCGACCAATATGCGTGTTGCACAGCACAGTAGTCCGGTAAGGTGAATGCTTGGGGGAAAAGCAGCCGGCAGCTGTGACATGCGAAAGAATTGAAGGTTGAAAGGGGAACTGCACTGCAGATATCTACATTCAGCAGATACTGAAATGATTGCAGCTTGGTGGAGGGGGGTGTGCTTCGAGGGTGGCGTGTGCATCAAGTTGCACGGTGGGAGGAAAGCAAGTGAGAAGTTCAGAGGGATGGCAACTGTTGGTAATCCTACGGACAAGGAGAGGCCTGTTGAGTCTTTCGCTCTGTCTCTGCTCTACTCCTGCGTTTGCTGGTGTATCTGCCGGGGATGAGCCGTCTGTATTGTATTGCAGCTGCAGCTGCAGGCGGATGAGGTGCAGGTGTCGCTAGTGCATGGGCAGGTCCAGGTAATATTCTGAGTATGGGTGACAGCTTCAGAGTTGAGGTATGGCCAAGGGATGCAAGGTCTGGGTATGGAGTGACGAATACCTCGCAAGCAGCCGAAGAGTAGGGATCAGACAAGTGATCTGGGACCGTTCCCCTGGGACGCAGGATGCGACGACAATGTCAAGGTTGAGCTTTGACTGAACGAGCTTGCCAGGAAGCGGCGGTGAGATGAAGACTGGTCAAGCATGAAGGCTCTATGAATAGCCTGTCGTCCTTGTGACAAGGGGGTTTGCTTGCTTGAGATCGAAGCTAGGTGATGGTCTTTGGTGATATCGCTAGCCCCAACTCTCTCTTCCTTCTAGCCGGGTGCTCTGTGATTGTCGATGTCAAAAGGGGACCGGGAGTCTCTTCGGTAATTCGTGTGTGATGATGCTTCTCCGATCTCCCTTCAGTATTCCAATGTAGTTGTTCGGTATGCTGGGTCAGTGTTGTCTTGCCGCCTTCTCTTTCTACCCTCTCGGTTCTTTCTCCTCTTCTGTCTCCCTTTTGTTCCTCTTTGGGTTCCTTCTTCTTGTCGTTGGGGACCTTGGCCAGGATAGCCCCGTGTGACCTGGAGAGTAATGATGTTCCAAGGTGGGAGTGACGGTAATGAGGGCAAGTGGTAATCCGGGTGTTGTGAGTGGTATGACTGCGATGCTGTACCGATCACCGGTCAGGGAAGCCGGGTCCAAGAGCCAAAGCCAGGATCAGAAGCATCCGGGGAGCGAAGTGAAGCAACGCAAGTCAAAGCCCAGGACACCTTGTCTTTGTCGTAAGAGGAGATTCATTCATTGAATCAGATGCTAAGTGGGAGGAATGAAAGAAAAGCGTCAGGCTGGGCTGGGTGGTTTTATGTGTACATGTTACGCATGTGCATCTAAGGCAACCCTCTGGCTATCTTGCCTTAGCCTCTGTCGTATGCCGTCGCTGGCTTCTCTGCGTCCGAAAGAGCATCTAGCTGATTGCCGCATTCGGATGTGGGTTTGAAAGCGGCGCCGGGCGGCCGTACGCCAGCCTTACCCTACCTTAGGCAAGGCACATATCCTTAGCAAGCCCCGGCCGCTGCTCGTCTGTCTCTCTGTTTGGCCGTCTTTGGTTAATAAGAATGGGTTGTGCCTCTTCTGCTGTGATGGTCCAGGCTATCATGCCGTACCATGGGAGCTGCCATGTAATACCCTGCAATGCACCCAGCCCAGCACTCTGAACACCAAAAGAGCTGGCATTCAAGAGAGTGTAGAAGCCTCATAATAATCATAGAAACACCCGGACTCGCAGGTTTTTGATTGCCAACGACCGACAGGGGATTAATCATGGGCAGGGATGGCGGCGCCGGGGAGAGGGGGGCATCAGCCGTGTGATGTGATGCTTGCTGCCGGAGTGGGCACCTACGTGCGCCTGTTTACGGATGGATATCCATGTCTTGCTTCTCTTGTCGTTGGCAACATGGAAATGGCCGCTGTTGGAGCTGGTGCCTCTCCCAGCAGCACCGAGCAGCCATGAGCTGGCCCATCCTGTGCCATGATCACATCTTATGTTGGCGAAGTTATCTTCACGGGAATCGTGTCTGACCATGTTCCCCCACCGGTTCGCGCTGGTAACCGAAGAATGTGGCGGTGGCATTTTCTCCGTCGGCCAAGCCCAAGACTGATAGAGCGGACGGGGTCAGCATGGACATTGACTTTCCTCCTTCTCTTGCCCCAGCTCATGTCTGCTCTTATTCTTCGCTCACATATTCCGATTCCTCCCCTCAGCTCTATTTCCATTCAGCCGCTGACAATGTGTGTGCTGTCGCCCTTCGTAACTCACCCCTCCTCCCTCAGGCCGTACCGTGTTATGGGGGCCAGCATGTGGCTCATCCCCCCCGCCCTCCACCCCCGTCGTTTTGTTTACCATACAATGACAGAACAATCCAGGCGCGAGACAGACAAGAGACCAGACTCAAGAGGCTTTGATTGTGATTGGGGCGGAGAGCAGGAAGAGATGAGGTTCGGGCCCGGAGGCGGGCCCAGGGCCAGTGAAAGGTAGCTAGGTCTAGGGAAGCAGGCAATGCCGGGGCCCAGCCAGTAGACTGAGAAGGTGCAGGGTAAAAGCAATGCAAGGGGACGCGAGGCGAGAGGAGGCAAGGGCGACAGAGGGGGAGGCGTTGACAAAAAAAAAAAAAAAAAAAGCTGTTCGGTTGGTGAAGTTGGGTTAGAGAGGCTCAAGAGGAATGTTTGTTTGCTCAAATCGGTACATCAGGCTGTCTGTGCTGCCGGAATCGTTGGTGGCGCCTGTCCTGATTGGTCTAGTCCAAGAACAGCCTGTGGCGCGTCCGGTTCTTTGATCCTGACAAGTTGAACTGACACCCGACACAGTGTGGGCTGTCATCGCCCCGCTCTACGCGTATGGTACCTTCCATGCCTTAAGGTAGGTGCCTATCGTACCTACCTTACCGCACTTAGGTACGTGCAGACGCGTGCGGGCAAGCTCTGGTAGGTAAGGTAAGCGGACCTTCCTCGTCCATGTCCATGTCATCCCGGGCACCCATCTTCTATTCCCCCGTCTACGGAGTACGACTGCTGCGCAGCAAGCAGGATCAATTCCACACAACACCTCCTTGCGTTTTCTCAACTTTTACTTGCCTACCTCACCTACTTTACCCACTGCAACTATGGATATTGCGCACCAAAGGTACCTTACCCAACCTCATCCCTCACCAGCTAATTAAAACCACCCGACACCTGTCCCGGCAGTCCTGCCGTCACGCACGTCCTCCCGTCATCGCCGTCCTCGCATCGTCACCTGGCTTGCTGCGTTGCTGGTTGGCTGCTTGCCTTAGATTTACTGAGTGCACTCAATTGGCGATGGACAAACCTCACAGATGGCTGCTCTCCACCCCAACCAACGGAATGAGTTGGGTGAATCTCGCGTCCGCATCTGTGTCTAGGGTAGTGTAGGTATGCCTGCACCAAGCTGTAGTTGGGTGAAGTGCTTATTAGTGCAGACCACTCCACATGACCTCACCAGAGACTCAGCTGTCGTTCCAACACCCCCTCCGTTCTCGCCAAAACCCGGCTGTCCGCTACCAACCATCACCCCTGCTGCGAATCCGATTCCACCGTTTCCCATTCATAGCCAATCTGAATAGGACGCGGTAGCGAATCAACGAGCTGTTGCCCAACATTTCGCCCCGCGCCATGTGATGAGGGTGGGTGAGAGAGGAAGGATAGAATATGCTGACGGAGTACCAAGAGGCAGTCGACACCCACCTCTCTCGCGTGTTTGATCCGTCCTGTAATATGAATCGGCATATTGTTTGTCTTGTTTGCCTCTGACATTTACGTCCTAAGCTGGACCTGGGGTCACGATTCCTGGGCCTAGAACCCATTGTCGGGGTCATGTATTTCAGTTCTTATCAGGGTCCTCCTCATTGAGCCCATGGACGCTCGACAAGTCGGCTGGAGACCGAGACAAAAGAACGAACCGTACCTACCCTACCTTACCCAAGGTAAGTAGGTACCGTCCGGCCTCTTCGGATAGCCCGTCTTGTGCCACTGCTACTCCCATAACCACTGCCACCAAGGCAAGGCAGTGTGCGATGGTGCCGCCCCAGGCCCGCTCGACAGCTCGTCTCCTCCGGATAATAGTGTCCTTGCACATCGTCAACCCCATTCCAGAGCCAGTAGAAGAAGCTACAAGCCAGTGCTAAGACGAGCCAGCCTGGAGCCGCCATCGCAGTCGGGACTGGACTTTGCACGCATCCTCTAAGCCAGTCGCCTTCCTTTCCTGCGGCGCTTGCGGCTTCGTCTGCAGCTACAGCGCGCTACCTTCCCGGCCATGCCTCTGGATCTGGCACTAGACCAGACGCCGCCGAGGAGATTTTCTTCTCCAAACTTTACTTAGCTTAACCTCTCCAACCAGGGCCTGACTCTTACCATACCTAGGTAGTAGTATCTCGCCGATCTGTCTCACTACTATCCTTTCCGTTTTCTCTCTTTCTGTTCTTGCCTCCGCCTTTGGCTTATTCCTCTCTTCATGCAGAGCTCTCCCTCGAGGGACTGCAATATCCAAGCCCGTTCCCGTCTCGTACCATGCACGTGGTAAAGCATGGTCTTGGCTCTTCTTCCGTTCGCTGGCAACCTGTATATCAAGGCACGTAAACATCGGTACGCTCGATTTACGACCAGTCGAATGTCTCGTACAATTCGTCTTCACATACAGTTGCCCAGCCCAGCCGCAGTGCGCACATGTGGCTCACCATGTATGAGGGCCGTTTGAGCCCCCACCCAACCGCCAAGTTGACGGACCGTTTGCTGGCATCAGACATGTCCAAGGCGAATACTCAACCAACATCTCCGTAACTTCATGTCACTTACCTAAGGCTAGTAGTCTTGCCGTAGGAAAAGGCTAGCGGCCAGTCGTTACTACCATGACACTGACGGTCACGCTTTGCGGAAAAGGCATGTAGAGGTCATCTCTCGCTGAGGGCATCTGATGGAGACATGCGACGCCAGATCTATGTCAAGCCGATCGATCGGTCACCCCACGAGAACCTGGATGTGCGCATCAATAACGGTGATCCGTCGCGCGTTTGCCAAACCAGTTACCGCGTTGAGATCACTATTTAATCCAAGGTGAGTAGACCGCTGTTGATACTCTTGGTCTCAGAACATAGCCGTTACGGCGGACTCGATGTGCCAAAGGCTCTTGGATAAACGTCGTGAAGGTTTTTTGGGCAACCACACTCTATCAGATCATTCGTCATACCATTATCCAGCCACACCCTTCCACCGCCACGCGAGCTGCCATCGAACCCAATATCAATCCGTGGTCTTGCCAGAAAGAATGCCCATGCGTCCTCAGGCTGATCCCCTGTCTACGCTGCCTCATAAGGACATCTCGAGACCACATGATGAAAGAGGCATGTTGCATCACTATCAACCTCTTGCTGCTGCCGCGTTCCTCCTTACCCATGCGTTTTGCTCAGATGGCGCCGGGAGTCGACCCTGGAGGCAGCGATCGCCGACCTGGCTCTGTAGACTTGATCGGAGGCGTCAAAATCTGCTGACGTGGGGACGGTGACAACGTCGCTACAGGCGGAAGGACAGCAGGCAAAGCAGGTGTCTTGATGCTGGGTGGTTGCGGACGGGGCAGAGGAGGTGAATGCTTCGTCGGGGAAAGCCCAGCTTCAGCTGAGGGTAGTGTGAATGATGAGTGTGCTGAGCCAGGAACGCCATATTCGCGACTGATCACTGGGGTTGCTGTCAAGCTAGACACTCCTGGCCTGGGCGATGAAGTATCTGCAGGGCCAGGAGTTGCCTCCAGTCGAGTGGGGCTCGCCGGCAACCCATCGCGACCAGTTGATACGGACCCGTTAGCCATGAAGTGCACTGCAACACCGACTGAGTCATCAGCCTTGGGTGTCGCTGGCTCACTACTGCCTTCTTTGCCTGACTCTCCCTCTCTGACCCGGTCTGACGGTTCCGATGGTCCAGCGGCTGGCGTGGCAACAGGAGACACTCCGTCCAAGATTGTCTTCCCGTCTTGTGAGTTGGACTCAGGCTGAGTAGTCTTGTCCCCAGAGAAAGAGGTTGATTGCGTACTCTCATCGGTCTGGGTAACGCTCGGTCCATCCATCGGTTGTGAGCGTGATGAAATTTCGCCCATGATTCCAGCAGATGGCCTGGGACTATATGCTGTGGGGAGCTGGCTGGCAGGTGACGAGTCGGAGGGACGACTGACCTTCAGCTTAATTGTTGTCCGTGGCCTTGCAGCCGCCTCCTTCGCGCGTCGCCGGCAAGTCTGACAGACGAAGTGGAATTCTGTTCTCTCAGCCTCGGTCTCACTTATGCCTACGCACTTGCTGTGCTGCCAGACATTGCACTTCTCGCAGGAGATACTATGCGTCCCGTCATCTACCTGGCCATAAACGCCACAAATGCAGTCGAAGATCCAGTCATCCTCTTCGTCTTCGTCATCGAGCTCCTGGAGCGCACGCTTGTTCTTCTCGATCTCAGCCTGCAGTCGACGTTCCGATACGCGACCTGAACCACTGCGGTTGTCTTCCGAAAGCTGAGAGAGTTCTCTTTCGTGCTGTGAGCGCCGGGCTTCCCGCTCTTTCAGGCGCTTTTCACGGGACAACAGCCTTGAGTCTCGCTCTTTTTCGAGTTTGAGCCGTTGTTGCTCCTCTTTCCTTGCAGCAACTTGTTGAGCCTGGACCACTTGGGCCTCCTCCTTGGCCTTCTCCTCTTGCTTCTGTTGTTCAACTTTGCCAGCGATCCTGCTTGATCGTTTGGCATTCGCCATTTTCGCCAAATTAAGAAGCTCCTTCTCGCGTTGCTGCTCTTTGCGTTTCCTCGACTCTTCTTGCTTCTCCAAAATGGGCAGCAAGTGGTCTCGTAGAGAGTCTCGCAGTATCTTCTCGTTGTCGTCCTTGGTTTTGTGAAAAGAGGCGATAAGCCCTTGGACATCTTCTAGGGTCACAGCAACACATTCCCACCTCATGCCACCGAGACCGTCGTCCTCGCGAGTAGGCGAAGGTGCTTCCGTGGATTCGCTTGGGGGTTGATCCGGTTCATCGGCAGCCTCTGCTGCAGAGACGCGGCGCCTCTTGTTAGACCGAGAGCCGTACTTGGTCGGCTTGGACTTCTTCTTCGGTGTTACTTGTTTTGGTGGAGCATCGGTGAGGCGGTATACCCTATTGTCATCAAGGACAAAGTAGGTGCGGTCATCCCTATCCCAGCCCAGGGGTTCTATCCGCTGTGCAGGTATCTTAGTACGCTATGTTGAGACTCGCCGAATTTCAGGCACTTACCCAGCTGGCCTGGTCAACATCCTTCTGTTCCTCCATCTTCTCCCTTACGCGTTCGGGACGTAGCATAATCCATTGTGTCATTTGCTGGAGAATCTGAATCTATCGCATGGTCAGCAATGAAGCTTGATAACTTGGCGATGGTGAGACGGTGCCTTTCTCAAGACGTCAAAGTCGGCGAATTTTGCAGCAACCTCATCGGAACCAAACGGATTCTTTTCGGGCGCTCTAGCTAAATATTGCCTCCTGGTGTACTCATCGAACAATTCGTGCCTGCTCTCGGTCAGTGGTCGGAAAACGCGAGGGATCTGTATTAACGCGTACGTCAAGCCTCTGTGCGACGATATGAACTTGAGAAGAGCCAGGCCAATGTCCTGGAGCACGGGCGCGTTTGGCTTGAGGCATTCGGTTTCAATATCCTATGGCATCGCGGGTCAGTAGTTGCAAAGTTGGTAAGCACAGTTGGGAAGGGCAGGCGGCGTACTTCGGTATCCAGACTGTCGTCAATCTTAACGACCTTCCCAAAAAGAAAGATCCATTGACACAGGTTGGCAAATTGCCATTGGCTGCGAATGCGATGGAGTAGGGTCGGTTCCTCTCGTACATCGTCGATTTCTTCAATGGTCCGTTTGCGTGACGGAACCATTTTCTGCATTGGTGTGTCGCGAGGTTAAGAGCGGCTTCTGGAAAGCAGGTATATGTCTTTGTCGATTGAGGGTTAATATCCGAGGCGTCGCGTCATGGGCATGTCGTGGCCGAAAAAGGGTTGAAATAATCAATGGCAAGACAAGGCGACGTAGAGGTCGATGGCGAAGACGTCGCGAAGAAAAAGAAGCTTTGAGGAGACAAGGGAGTTAGTTTCCTGCGCGCAATGCCGCCGAGCGAGTTCACGTCAGGTAAGATGCAGAAGCGCTTTCCGAGTCGGTAAGAATGCAACAGGGCGAAGGAATAGAGAAAGCCGACGTAACGTAGTTTCGCTCTTTGGGAGAAGTAATCAAAATCTGAGATGGGGTCGTCATAAGGATTAGGACGCAGGTGCCGTGATGGGTGCCGTCCGGGGTGGTTTTGCAAGGCTAGAGGTGAGGTAGCGATGGCGTGTAGTTTGCACGGCGCAGTACTTCTCAGCTGCCAGGTGCGCGACCGTCTAAGATTATCTACCTAAGGTCGACCGGCGACGCGTCGGGTTAGGCGGGTTAAGGTACGGCGGAGTACCTTACCTAGGTAGTTTCTGACGGGCGGGCCCGTGTTCAGCCGCGAACATAATACTCACATACGCCAGGTCCCTTAGGTTACCTTACATAAGCCTCATAAGGCAAAACTCAGCACCCTACCTTAAGGTATGGTCTATCTCCAAGCTGTTTACCCTTCCTCTGAATACCTAAGGCCCCCCCTAAAAAACCGGCTTAATTCCCCGAAGTCCCTTGGCGCGCTCGTATCTACTCAGTGGAACAATCTGCCTTGATACCTGGATGCCTGCTATGTATGGTCTACCTGTGCTCTGATTGAGCATCGGGGGAGGCAGCAATTTTGGCTTCAGGCGGCGACCGGTATTGATCTTGCGCAAATCGCCCAGTCAATCAGAGTTGAGCAACGACGCCACATGCTTGATGCAGTTTCGAGGCTGTTAGTGCCTGATGTGACTAGTCCTCCTCGTATTGAAAGTATGCACGTAGAGTTCTGTATGTCATTCATGCTGCTGTTCTTCCACAGGCTACCGTCTCACCTTACCTAGTCTTATACCCCCGCCAGGGGGTGAGGGAGGACTCCCGATCCAGGGCTCCCGGCACCAAGATTCATCGTTCAGGACAGGGGCGCCCGACACGTCGACACCCGACTGTTATGCCGTTTCGAGACCTAGTGGGTAAGTACAGTGAAACACGGCTTCCATGTGCACTGTCCAGCTACCTTGGTAAGCCCCTGACAGTGTCCAAGTTCTTGGTACTGCAGTGTACTATGCTATTCACGTCCCCCTGGCTGAGCTCCACCATGGCTACCTTACCTATCCGTAACGCACCTGCCTATCTGTACTTCTGTAGGCATCTCCAGGTAGATTGCGGTTCACCACCAATCACAGTTTGCTCTTCCCGTCGTGTCCTTGCTAGCAACAGGCGATGCCGACTATCCGCCTTGAACGCTGAAAATAGAACCACTTCGCCGAGGACGTCCCACATAGCTAAGTCTCTCTACAGTGCTCAGATTGCTGCGTACTGACTTACTTCCTCTTGAGTACTCAGCCTCTGGCCAACAATTAGCAGTAACGAACAGCTTGTCGTCCATCCAGCCTCGACAGCTGCCACAATTCAAACATCCACCATTTGAACGACGGCTCCGATTCGATTGAGACGGGATCGCAAAGATATTCTCGCGCTCGCGATTGCGTCGGTGTTCAAAGATCCCAGACCTTCCATCATCTCAGCCTGTATTCCCAACTCTCACCGGCCTTGCTTCGACACTGACACCGGGGGAATACCTACCCAGTTTGCGACCGACGACACTTTTCCGACCCCGCGACCGCATCACAGCTGTACGCGACATCATCCGGCGCCTCGACATGGGCCTCACCGAGACCCTACAATAATACGGAACATGCGTCTTGTTCTTCGACCGTCATAGACACAACCGCACCCGCCCCTCACGACGTTGCGGACCGGTTCCGACAGCTGCGTCAAGGACGCGACGGCTTCCGAAAACCTCAAAACTCTTCTGAGCCTCGATTGAATTCGAATAATCAGTTCGAGATGAATTCGCGACCAGACGATAGTACAGACTCCGGCGGGGACCGTCTGCAGGCAGACTCCCAAACTGGGTATGAGCGAGGGCGTCAAGGCCAGACTTCAGCACCGCCGCTGTCCCCCAATCGGCTCGGCCTTTCGACCTACTGGGAACAGCCGTACGTCGCCGCCCCGACAAGCTCAGGAAGCCCAGAGTCCCCCATCGACGCGTCCGCGCTTCAGTTCGCACTTCCACCCGATATAAACCAACCTCCCCCACCGCCAATCCCACGATTGAATTCACCATCTCTTGACTCGCTCGATCGTCCTTCTCCGTACTACGATGAAGGCGCAAATAACGACTACTACGAGGATAGAGTACCTCTCACCTCGAGGGCCCAGCCCATCTCTGGGTCTTTAAGCGCCAATGCAGCGGGAGATGCTCAGCCCAGAGACAGCTTTCAGACTGTATCCGACATCGACAACACAACTTCAAGAACCCGAGACGCAAGATCTTTGGGCTATGATCTGGAGCCCGGCGGCATGGGCGCCGGACGACGCAGCTACGGAAACACGCTTAGCCCAGGAGGAGATCAGAGAAGATCTCGCTCACCGTCTACGGCTGGCGCGCTGTACAGAGCTGGCTCGATAATGCGAGCCATGTCGCAGCGTGTTGTGAACATCAGCGGCGAGGGCGAAATAATCGACCAGCGCAATTCACGCGGCCGGTCACCCTCCCCAGTGCCGGACCGTCGGCAAAAGCTGCACAATTCTGCGCAAATGTTCACCGATACCTCCTATCATTCTCATTTCTCACATGTGCCTGAAAAGACGCCAGAGCCCGCAGCCATCTTCGCGGAGCCTGCTCCTCCCCTCCAGCCGCGTGTCCCCATGAAGAATCCCCTTAAGGGAAAGTCTTTAGGCATTTTCCCTCCGGACCACCCGATACGAACCAAGTTATGCGACTTGCTGGTGCACCCATTCACCGAGCCGTTTATTCTCATCCTCATCATCTGCCAGGCTGTTCTACTGGCAATAGAGTCTGCACCGGATGTCTTCACCCACCCCCGCCCTGACCGATGGGGTGTCACATGGATTGACTGGGCAATGTTAGTACTGTTTGCCATCTTCACTCTCGAGTTGATTGCTCGTATTCTGGTGTCCGGCTTCATCCTGAATGCTTCGGAATACAGCACAATCGACCGAAAACGGGGAGTAAGAGCGGCCGTCGTGGACCAATACAGGAATATATTTCAACCCCAACGACAAAAGTCTGTCAAAGCTACGCGACAGATCAATCTGGGGCCCTCTGCTTTCCAGCGGTCATTTACTATCATGCAAGGCCAGACACTTCCTCAAACCGTCGAAGAACATCAGAGGTTTCAGCTCGCGCGACGAGCCTTTTTGCGTCATTCTTTCAATCGCCTAGACTTCCTAGCTGTTGTCGCATTCTGGATATCCTTCGCTCTCAGCATCACAGGCATCGAGAGCCAAAAACACATATACGTGTTCCGCATGATTAGCTGCTTGCGGATTTTGAGGTTACTTGCTCTCACAAACGGCACAGCTGTAAGTGTCCCTTGCTTTCAAAACTGCATGCCATACTGACACCCTGCAGATCATTCTGAGAAGTTTGAAAAAGGCGGCGCCGCTGCTCGTTCGCGTGGCCTTCCTCATAGCCTTCTTCTGGATCTTGTTTGCCATTATTGGTGTGCAGAGTTTCAAAGCCAGTTTAAGTCGCCAATGCGTCTGGCTTGACCCAACAGACCCCACGAACAAGACTAAATCTTTCACCAATGATATGCAATTCTGCGGTGGATTCCTCAACAATGTTACGGGAGACACCATGCCCTGGGTCCTGGTGGATAATGATGCCGTCTTGGACAACTTCAAGAATGGTAGTAAAGCTGGAAAAGGATTCATCTGCCCTAGAGGATCGATATGTTTACAACAGGAAAACCCGTTCAACGGAACTGTCAGCTTCGACAACATTTTCCAGTCTATCGAGATGGTTTTCGTGATCATCAGCTCAAACACATTCACCGACATCATGTACTACACAACCAACTCGGACTATCTTCCTGCGGCACTGTTCTTTGGGGCAGGTATCATGATACTCATGTTGTGGCTCGTAAACTTGCTCATTGCCGTCATCACGTCTTCCTTCCAAGTCATTCGGGAGGAGAGCAAGGCGAGCGCCTTCACTACGGAAGAGGAGCCACTGGTCCAAGAGCCAGTTGAGGAGGCACCACAGAAGGTTTCGGCACTGCGAAAGATCTACGATCAAACTTCTTTCTTATGGATAGCGGTCATCGCTTTTGGTCTGCTGGCCCAGTGTTTTCGAAGCTCTCGAATGTCAGACAGTCGCGGTCGGTTCATTGATGCCGTCGAGGTCGTCGTCACAATCATACTGGATTTCGAGATTGCCGTACGCATTGCCGCCGGTTGGCGCACTTTCCACAAAAGCCGGCGCAACATTATCGACCTTGGCCTAGCTATTATCACGAGCATTATCCTCATTCCCCCAATCCGTAACTCGGGAGAACCTTATGCCTGGTTGACCGTTTTTCAAATCTTGCGGGTGTATCGATTGGTTCTAGCGGTGCCGATGACGAGAAAGCTCATCGTAATGGTCTTGGGAAACTCCAACGGTATTGCCAACCTGATGCTTTTCGTCTTTCTCATCACATTTCTCATGTCCATCCTGGCGGCTCAATTATTCAGGGGCGAGATACCCAAGCACAGCGATGACGGCGACCTTAACGAAGTCTCGTTTTTCACCATTTACAACTCGTTCCTCGGCATGTATCAAATCCTGTCGAGTGAGAACTGGACATCCATGCTTTACAACGTCACATCGTATTTGAACGCTTACAATACTGGCTGGATTGGGGCGATCTTTCTCATCGGGTGGTTCATTCTCGCGTTTCTCATT